CATCTACCTTTCACCTAGATGAATTGAAGAAAAAAATCTAAAATCAAGGAAATTTTGACTTAAACTGTAAAATGATATGAGAGATCAACATAGAACTGAAAGAACACTAATGTATGTCACCCAGCAGGAGGAAGAAAACATATCCCATTTTTTCCCTAGAAAGGAGGAGGATAAGTTTCTATACTCTAATTAGACCTAGAATCTATTCATGCAGTGAGGAATCAACTAGCTAAAAAATTGTTTGATTTTAAATGAGAATCAGCTTCCATTTCTCCGTCTATTCAGCAGTACATATGAATGAGGCTCTCGTATGCAAGAGATATCTTATGGATGACGAGGTGATGGGGATCGAAGAAGCGGACCAGCACATCCACATCGTCATCACTTCGTCCGCCGCCCATCATCGCCCGTCGCCGTCGTCCGCCGCCCATCACCATCTGCTGCCACCGGCCGCTTCGTCGCCGCCCGACCCGCCGCTTTCGGACGATTCCATTCGTCTTCTGTTTACATGGCTAAATCCCGCTGGTTCGTGAACTGGGTCTGTCCAGCCCGAGTGAGACAGGTTCTACCTGGCCAAACCAGTTTGACTGCCTGGTTCGAGCCAACCCGCTATTCCGGTCGGAACCATCTCGAACCGCCTGCTTCGCGTCAGACGTCTTCGCGGACCGGAACCATTACAGACTGCCTGGTTCGTGACATTGCGTCTTGCCGGTCCAAGCCATTCTTGACCACCGGGTCCCCACCAGACCATCTTGCTGGTTCGAGCCATTTTGGACCAGCTGCTCCATGCCGGCCAGCCTCACCTGGTCCGAGCCAAACCACCCAGTCAATCATGTCGACCCAATCAGCTGTCAATGACCTAGTCAACAGTAAACCATTTGGTCAACATGTTCTTTATGAGAGAATAGTGAAAACCTAGGGTAAGACCTCTTCCAACGTAGATATAGGCTAGAATAATTCAAACCACACTATAAAAGACCAATATATAGTGAGTCAACTTAGTGAGTTGACCCCCTTAATCTCCATAAAATCACTAAAATCCTAAAAGTAAAAATTTAAATAGTAAATTTCCTTCACCTTTCCTCACGAGCAATATATAACTTACTTGAGACCAACAAATAAAGTCAATACCTATCTGCCTCCTAACTCCCTTAGACCCTAGGCATAATCTTCAAGAGATTAGTAAAACCCAAGGAACTACTGGAATAAGGGATGTAGGAAGGATCCAAAATGACTCTAAAACTAGCATCATATTTTTATGTTTTTGTTTATTTTTAAACACCTCAACATATTACTAGACAATATTAACTTAGAACAACTAATCATAGTTGCTGGTATGAATGAATTAATTGATTAATCTATATTTAATAAACTCTACGAGAATGAAAATTTTTCAGTGTACACAAATCCAGTGATTAACTCTATACAACCCCCTTTAAATTACAATTTCTGGCCGATTCATATTTTTAAGACAATCATTTGACCAGCCTTACCTTTCATTCATTTTGTGTGTCTAAACCACTTTGGTGTTCACATCTTAATCCAAGGAGACTTTACTAGCTATTATTTCTTTAATCATTCCTTTCATCTTGTGTAGACAAGTAACATCATATAAATGAAAAAATCTTACAAATGGCAAAATTATATTTTTGATAATTATTTTTTTCAAAAAATTTACCTACAGTTTTGATAAACATGAGTGGTGGTTAGCTTGCATCATTATTAGAGCATTGTGGTTATGATGTCGCAAACATCATATCCAAACTCCAAGTAATCAAATTGAGATATGAATTGTATATATTTTGTGTTTTCTTGAATATTTTGGTACATAAGGAGGTAGAGGTATCTATTAGTGGATTGGAACTAGCTGTTGGAAAAACCATTATTCAACCCAATAATGTATATAAAAGCTTCTCTTTCACCCATATTATTATTTAAACAAGATTTGAGGCTCTCTCCACATGCATCTTTGAGCCACCCTAGAGCAAGTGCATCAGTCTTTCATATCCCAGGCAATTGCAATAGCTAGAATTCAATATGTTTGTGTTTTCAACAATTCCCAAGTAATACCTTAGGGTCATTCTCATCGTAGACCTGTTGAAGGCCTTAAGACTAGCAAAAGGTAATTGAAGTTTGTGTCTCTCAACTAGTAAATACCTGAAGAGTCGCTGAAATAAGAGTCGCAAACTTATAAACAAGAGTTACTGAAATACCTGATTTCTAGCAAACTTGACTTATTCCATAACTAGTAAAGATAGAGGATAGCAAAGGCATAAATAGGTTATTGTAAGCCTCATGAAACCTTAGAAGGCAAGCAAAAGGATCACATGAACCTTAATTTTTATGTTAGTCAATATTTTTCTTTAACTAGTAAGGTCAATGGTGTGTTGAAGTCATAAATCTTTAACTTTTATCTATTTTTTAATGATATTTCATAGTGAAACTCAAGGACTGATTCTTGGGAGTGAATGAGGTATAAGACCAATGCACTATAAAATCAATTGTATTGACTAGGTGACGTTTGCAAATAAATAAATCAATCTCAGTAGGTGGTCTTTAAGTAAAGTGATATAAAGGTTTGAAATCATATCATAGTGTGAGTTTTCCATAAGTTTACTTATAGTCATTACATGCCTTATTATCAATTCAACCCACTTCCTAGTGTCAAGTAAAGCCCTATCAACATTAATAATAACAAGATATATATATTGACATTGCTAGTTTCTTAGGTTTTTTAATTAGATATTTTGAACACGGAACTGTACCTTTGAGGTTCCATGTAAATATGCCACAGTCGTGAAGGGTTTTCATCATTTAATGTACAAGATACAATATACATAGCTATTAATATGAATTTTATAATTCTGCTAATGCGGATCCATAAGTTATATATAAAAATTATGAGCACTTTTGTTTATCTTATTACATTATTTGATCTGAAGATTTTTTGAATTATTTAAAACGAAAATAATTGAAAATTTTATTAAATATTAGATAAAATTAGTCAAATATACCTAAAATGCTGCCATAATGGTTGGAACTTTTCCGATAAAGTTGACTCTAATTGGATAATCATGTCAAAAATTATGTAATCTTCTATGTTTCATTCTTAAAATTGGTAACTTCTAGATTATCAAAAATCTATGTTTCTATATACATCTTATAGCCCAAAAGCACGTGTAGCCACAAAATTAAAGGTTATCAACATTGCACCCCTATTAATCACTCAAGATTGTAGAGGGATAGAGGGGTAGGGGTGAGAGACACACACAAAAGGAGATAAAGAGAAGAATAGGAAATATTCACAAATGTACATAACTGAACTATGCTTCTTACAAATGTTGAAATTATAAGGCTAGGAAACTCCAAGATGACGAGTGAATTAGGGTGTCTAGAATATTTGGCAATTTTTTTATTTAACTTATACCTATGGATAGGTGTCGTTAGACCTATCAATACATGTGCTTCCAATGCTTTCTCACCAAGAAAAAAAGTTTGTGTACTAGTTAGCCCCTCGCCCAATTATGTTCAGTCCTAAAGAGAACCTCCTTCTAGTCTTCAATAATTCCTTCAAGAATTACATACTGACTTTCACAAGATCAACCACCTAGATACCTCAAGTTGGTCTCATCGAAGACTCAACCTTTCCTAAGTTAAAACCAACTACTAACACCTCGTGTTGTCATCCAAAGCACTCTATCTACACCACCTAGTTACCTTAAGGCATGAGGGAGAGCCAGAGAAGAGAAGATAGAGTTGATTGTCCTGCTAAAATCAGCTATAAGATGCATGATGCTCTAGTGCCACAATGTGGAATGGCTTGAGTGGTTAACCTAAATCTTCATGCATTCAACCAACTTTTTATCATCAAATCTTCTTTTATAAGTTTTCATTTTTCTAAAAATTTCTCAATTTGTCAAGATCTTTAACATTTGAAATCTTATTTTTCCAGAATATGTGATAATGACCTTTGAAGTTCCAAACTTTGAATATTCTTATTTTCTATTTTTTTTCATTCAAATTTGAACTAGAGTTTCCTAATTTGGTGAGTGATAGTTGGATGCCTAGGTTGAATCTAAATCATCACATTTACTTTGACTTTTTTGTCCATGGAAATAATTGACATGTCACCATTGAGATGTTGTATTCGAAGCTTGATTATTTCTTTCATTTTGTAACTCTTTTGATGATTTGATCCACGAGATCTTAGAGAACCTATCTAACATCATTTTGAAATATTAGATACTACATAATATGATTAGATAAATATATAGTCAATAAGATAATTCTCACAAATTGTTTGTACTCATTTAAACATATACTTATCATTTTAATGAAAGATGATTATTCAACTGATTTTTTGTTGATCAAATATTCATAACATGAAGAATTACTTAATCTCAAGAATTAACATTTTATTTTCGGTTTTTAATGATAAGATAATTAAATAAATAAACTAACTATATTGAATATGTTGAATATTTGAAACATATATAAATAATTATTAATATTTAATAAATTCATATCAATAAATTTTCACTTGTAATTATCAAAACCAAGAACATCAATATCCAATGATATGCTTACTCATAGAAAAATGCTGTGAATCTTTAAACATGAGAGACATCAGACAACATTCCTTGGGATTTCCAATTAATATCAATAATTCCCCCAATTCTTACACGTTAAACAAGAAGAAGCAACACATGTCAAAAATATTTCTTCTTCTCTCATATCTCTCTCTTTATCTATCCAAGAGTTTTTGAATACAACATGAAGAACCCAAAAGAGTTGGACAACTTTCATTCAGCATCATCATTGATGGATGAAAAATCTTAATGTCTAAGCATATAAGCCTTCAGATCCTGAAACATCTACAAAGTGAGTGGCCACATAAATTTTAGGCCTCAGCAGATGATTTCCCTCCAAGAAAAGGCGCATTCCACATATGAGCCATAACTTAATGTATATGAATTCCCAACCACTTAGCTTGAGTTCACTCACAAGGAAACTGACCCATCGTTGAGATGACTGGAGCCCAACCTCTGGGACCTCTCCAATGACCTCTTCATCTTTATGCTCTTGATTTCTTCTTCCTTCCTATCCACAAAATTCATCAGATTCTCAAGTGAACTTGTGCAGGATGGCTGTCGGACGGGTGAGCGGCCTGCCTCAAGGGGCCCGCTACGATCCTCGACTGACTCGCTATCATAGTTCTCGTCAAACTTGTTGTACTGGCACAAGACCTTCAGGAAGAAGATGAGAAGTGCCATCACACAAGCAATGCCACAAATGAGGAAGAGGCCCCAAAAGCTCTGGAGACTCAGCCTGTTGGAATCGATTGAGTTGTCCGTCGAACTACATCCGGAGTTTATCAGCCATTTGTCATGGATCCTTTGGAGATCTCCGGTCTCTGATAGGCTGAGAATAGCTGTCGATAAGTCCACAGCAAGTGGCGAGTCCTTTGGGAAGGCCTGGTGGGAGAGCAAAGAGAGTTGGAGAAAAACTGATCATCTACCTGAAGAACCCGGGCAAATCTAAGCCCAAGTCAATCGGCTACAAATGAAGAAGACCCAAATATATGACAATATATTAAAATTATATGAATTATTAATGAACTAAACAGAAATATGAGTTTCCAATGCAGGAAGGATTATTCTAGAATTTAACGATAAAATATGCATAAAATATGATTTTTCTTCATATCAAAAATAAGATTATTGAAAGAGGAGGAAGATTACTCACATATCCCCATCCACTCTTGGTGAACTCCTGCCCCACAGTCTTGAACTCACAGTTCCTTGCCAGGAAGATCTCCACATAGGGGAGCTCATCCACTATCGCTGCCACTCCTCCACCTTTCGGCCCGAGCTTGAGGGCCCTTGCGTACTCCTGCGGTGATCCCAATGCCACCAGTCTCGACTTGGCGATGTTGATCTCCTCAATCATGTAGTTCTTGGCGAACGAGCCCACCTGGAACCCAATTGGATCATTGCTGGAGATCAAACTATCAAGTCCCTCAATCCCAGATGAAAGCTGTTGGACTGTGAGGATAGAGGTCAGGCTGGCAGTGTAGCTGGAGTTGATTATCAGCACCACAAAGAGCCATATGATCAGCACCACACGTCCAAGAGTGCTCACAGTGTTCTCTCCTAGAATGAGGCATAGATGTTGACCAGATGGGGTGAGAACATCGACCCAACTAAGGAAAATAACCATCGACATTGGGATTGAGTGCATAAAGGAAAGGCTTACTGTGCGCGAAGAACATGGTCGAGAAGCTGAACCTGGAAAATGTAGCAGAAAAAATGGTCTTTTATGATCCAAACAAAAAAACTTTCAAGCAACATTACCCAGGCAATGATGATAGCACATAGTAGATATGAGCCTTCTCTCTGAATTAATGTCAAAGTGAGAGAGAGAAAGAGAGAGAGAGAGGAAGGGAGAGTACACATAGCCTTCTTGGATACTAACCAGAAGATCGTCACAAGCTGCCGCCTTGGAGACCCCCTGAACTCGGAGTTGAACCTGTGCTCAAGAATCCAGACGACGGTGCCAATGAAAAGGAAGAAGGCCCCCGTGACGCACCACATCTGCGTCGTGAATGGCTTCAAGAAGGCCCATGCATTTGAGTTTACCTTCTTGACTGGTGCGACAATCACGAGCCCAGACTCAGAGTATGGCTGCGTGAAATCCACAATCCTCGTCCTATTCGTCACAATTGAGATGTCCCCCACAGCTGCATCAAACTCCTAAAGAACAAGAAGAAGAAGAAGAAGAGCAGGTGAAACTCTTTCTAAGCAAGCAAGTAAGTCATCCAAGATCAGAAGAAAACCCACGAAGATCAGATGTATCGAAGTACAGCAACATTCAAAGAATTCCCGAGCTCACATTTTGGGCAACCTTGTAGACGAGCTCATTGTAGCTGGGATTCTGGGATCCATCTCCGAACAATTCAAATGTGTAGGGCACTGGATATGGCAGGAGGCTGACAGCTGCCTTGAATACATCGATCGCATAACCTTTGACCCCATCTGGCCCTTTATCTGACGACACAAACTCCTTGAAGCTCACCCTCCTGGGGACCCCAATCCTCAGCTGCTTCCCATTGTTGGGGAACACCCATCCCTTTGGCCTGGTTGTGGTGTCCCCCGGCCAGATAACCCCGTACAGCTTCTGGCTGTCGGCAGAGTTATTCCGAGCCTTCCCATACAAAACTTCTGGTGGAACAACTGAGAGACCCGACTGGTTTGACCAGTAGCCGATGTTCCTCACACCAGTCCCACCGACATTGACAATGTCATAGGCCGGAGAGATGAGATTCTTGTCTGAGGCAAACTCAATAGATCCTGCCAAGCCAGCAAAGCCTGATGCAAGCATGATCTGGAGCAGCCTCTCGCCACCATGGAAGGCTCGGAGGGCTGAGAACTGGAGGCTGCTCCCCTCTACATCTTTCAGTCTCGGATCAGCCGAGAAGGAGATCTCCGACCCTTCATTGAGGAACTCGTCAATTGCATGGGCAACCAGCCAGACTGCATCATAGGCATACAGCCCATAGGAATTCAAGCCACTACCAGAGCTGGCATTCCACCGGGAAGAGAACATCTGTCTGGAGGCAGATTCAGGGGCATGGTGGCGGAAGGTGATGACCCCCTGGATGAGACCCATGATCTTGGGGTCAGCCAGTGCAGAGGAATCCAAGACAGTGGAGAGCCAGTCCGTCGCAACCCAGACATATCCAGAATCCACCATGCCAAGATGCTGAGCCACAGAGAACACCGAGAGGCCCGAGTCAGGGTTGACATGAACGACGTAGACCCTTGACTCCATCAGGTTGACTTCCACCAGGAGGTCAGTGATCCTGCTCAAGCTGGCACCTGGGGGGAGGGCGGCCTTGTAGGAGATCTTGGCTCGCCGCCGGGCAAGGGCGTCACCAAGGGCGGTGACCCCACCACGGCCAAAGTCGTCGTCCACGTAGATTGCGATCACCGCCCTCCAGCCATTGTAGGTGATGAAGTCGGCCACTGCGTTCATCTGGAAGTAGTCACTCTGAGATGCCCGGAGGAAGAAGGGGTACTGGAGGGAAGCCAGGGAGGGGTCTGTGGCGGAGAAGGAGACGAGGGGGACATGGAGCTCATTGGCGACATGGGAGATCACGTGGGCAATGCCGGAGGATTGTGGGCCTATCACAACCACCACTTCGTTCTCCATCAGCTTCAAGGCTGTCCAGAGCAGGATCATACCAAAAGTTAGAGCAAAATCACCCCATAAAGAGATAAATCGAGATGATTCTTAGCTTGCTCAGTAAACAAGATTTAAACTTGGGAGCTTGGAGATGGAAGGGATTAAGAATTCTGAGGTGGTTTGGGTTATCATCCTGTATAGGAGCAAACTTTAGTGAAGAAAGTTATCTTTGAAGCCGCCCTGTCAATGCGATGGACGGCTGGACGGCCAGTTCCAGTAGGATCTTGAAGAATTATATCCACAGGAACCCAAGAATAGAAATATTTATGGAATCAAGAGAGAAACATGGCTTTTCAAGGAAGGGGAGGACTCCTACCTTCGACTATTCCGACAAACCCACTGCAGTTGGTGTCCTCCATGAACAGGTTCAGCTTGGTCCTCGCTAGAACGGTCGAATTCTGGTTCACATCATCCACGGCGGCTTCTATAGCCGCCCTCGCTACCTTTCCAATTACGGAATTGAAGGTGAGGAGGGCACCGACATTGACAAAGCTTGGCCGAGGGAGAGTAGTGTTTCTGCCAGCTCCCAGCACCCCCACGGGAGGGGCGATCAAGAGCCAGAGGAGGATGATCTTCAATGGCGTCATCTCTATCACTTTCCAGAAGAGAGAGAGAGAGAGAGAGCCTATATATCGGCCATACCGGTTAGAGAGAGAAAGCTTCCAGAGATTGAGGGAGGAGAACCAGAACCAGATAGAAGGGGAAGGATACCCACAGAGGCGGAGAAACCCAAGTGTGGCTATCAGAATCAAAATGGCTGAGGAGGGGGGAACCTGGAAGCTTAGGAAATCAGTGACAGCGCGATGGAGATAATGAAAAGGAGCAGACAAGTTCCGGAAGATCAGCGTTGGAGACAAATGGAATTAGAGAGAGAAACAGAGAGAGAAGTGATGGAGAAAACCCATCAATTCAAGCTTTGAGGAGAACCCGAGAAGCTGCCCACCGATAGCCAGGGCCGGAGGAGGAGACGGTCTGAGTGAGAAGGGGGATGCGAAGCAGAAGGACCACAGAGGCGCCTTAAACGCCGCCGCCGCCCTCCTCCTCCCGAGACTCGATTAAAAACCCACCATCGCCGACTCCGGGGAGAACTTCGAAGACGAGGAAAGAACAAACAACGAGCCCCACCCTTGCCCGCCCCCTTTCTGACCTCGCTATTGATGGAAAGGTGCCTCTGGTCTACACTTGCGAGGACTAAGTCTCTCCATCGCTCAGATTATTCCCGTCGAACCCAGAGCTCTCCGGTCATAGGGGAAGGTGGCATCACCAGGAAGGTCTATCTCCACGAGGTTCCGTCGGGGACGGCAGGGGCATCTGGGGGCAGAGGTGGGGCTGCTTGAGGAGCTCGCACATGCCTCTGTGCTCCGGCAGAGGGGCTTCTCCGTCCAATCGAATCCAGGGGTGATTTGACGGCCGAATAAGTTCCTGCGGCGGGCCGGAAGACAGGCGCATCTGGGCTGGTTTGGATCTGATTCCTCCATTTTAGCCCGTCCGTTGCTTCAAGAAGGGCTCTTTCCCTTCCATTAAGCAGTACCCATGATTGATTAGGGTCCGCTACCCTGAGATAAACCCCGTTCTAGTCTCAAGACTCCATTACTGGTGAGTTTCTGCCCGCAGGCGTTGACTCAAAGACAGGTGCAATAATTCTCGAGGCGTGATTGTTCAAATCATGGGTATGCCGTTTCCGGAAGCTCATTAAATATATATATATATATATATATATATGTCTCTCTGTTAGGACAGGGTGTAAGTGGGCCGAACCCCAAATGAAAGTCAGACGAGATCTTTCTTTTTCCCTGATGGTCAAAATGTCAGCTCACTGGTGAAAGCAAGAGGAGATGACTTCATAGTGGGGCCCATTCTCCAGTTCTACCAAGGTACAAATAGGCGTAGTTAAAGTGTGAAATTTACAATTATGTCCTTGTGGAAAGATGATATAAACAAGTGACCATCTTTTTTCCATACTCTAAATTTAAAATATCCATATATATTGTCTTACCATAGAGAGAGAGAGAGAGAGAGAGGAAATCTCCAGAGATGGTTCGAATAAAATAAAGTTGAGGGTGAATATGAAATATTGAGATGTGAATGAGGGCACGGATGAAATTGTCATCGTTGCCGTGTGCAATAAGGGCTTCGTCAGCACCCACTCACTCTCTCCTTCTCCCGTTGGTTGCTGTGTTCTTGAATTTAATTTAATTCTTCATCCTCGATAATCTTGCCGTATTTTAGTGCATCATTCAGTACCGTCCACCTTGCGCCGATAAGTCCACCTCCTCGTTACGTAGTCTTCGTTGTCACCTTACTCAACTTGCGTTATCTCTCTCTCTCTCTCTCTCTCTCTCTCTCTCTCTCTCTCTCTCTCTCTCTCTCTCTCTCTCTCTCTCTCTCTCTCACACACACACACACACACACACACACACACTCATCTGGGTTTTTGGCACGTGCAAATTCTATGAGTTCGCTATCAGAGAAGGGCGCCATCATCTGTATTTTACGAAAGTTGTCCCATTCTTGACGCGTCTCACAAAGCTTTCTATGAATAGAGGTGACCCAACGATGGGGACGGCATAATAAACTAGCGAGAGAGAGAGAGAGAGAGAGAGAGAGAGAGAGAGAGAGAGAGAGAGAGAGGGAGAGAGAGATAATGATGACCCAATCTTCTTGCATTTTTATAATTTCTGTTGACTTATGGTTCCAAAGTTGCAAGCTTTTGTGGCATATACAAGATTTGCACAAGTTTACTAGGCCTCAATATTTTTGGGAAGTGTCAATTTCTTATGAAAAATCATGTGGTAATCAAAGAACCAGCCATCATTTTCCATACAAATAGAATACAAAGTGGGTGGGTCATGCAAAATGCTCAAGACTTAGAAAGAAGATGTCATGTAATTTTTAAGAACTATGTAATAAGTAGATGGATGATTGATACCAATCCATCTTAATTTGAGAGAGAAGAAAAATTGTGAGGCTAGAAAACTCATAGGAGGCCTTCTTCACCAAGACAATTTCTCAATAGAAGAAGAAAGATGTGAACTTGAGAGGCAGACAAATGGGTCTACCCAATTACTAGTACTCTTTTTATGATGCTGGTGCAACCCTTTTGACTCTCAAGAAAGAGGAATAAACCCTATTTTTTGCTATTAGAAGAAGGAGCAGCTGTCCATAAGACTAACACCCACAAAGGCCCCTCCCTCCACTGAGATAGTTAATATTATTTGATTTTCAGTGATGATCAATTTTTATTTCTCCACCCATTTCTCAATCCGTTTCCAACTGTTTTCGACTATTTCTTACCATTTCTTCTCATTTCTCAAAATCATTTTAATTTAATTAAATAATGTAATCCAATAGGCCTCTTAATTTACTTTCTTAATGGGTTTTAAAATGTCCTCAGAAATCAACAAGTATTTCAAAACTATTCTGAAAATCATCAAAAAAGATTAGAAAAAATCACTTGTGTCCAACAAAATGATCTCCAACTGTTCAATTATTTTCCTAGTCCTAATCATGGCATCTTGAAGGGTAAAATTGTCAATTAAAATATATTAAGATATAATCAAGGAATATTAAAAATATAAACATACAATAGAGGTATGCAAAAATCATATATTTGCATTTAATGGATGAGTACTAAATTAAACCACAAAAAATAGTAAATAGATCCAATAATGGAATGCCTTAATCTACAGCAATCTTTTCCCTTCTTTGTCTATCACTCCACGAATGATTGAGAATGGACGTGATCCATCTATCATAGTACCCAATGCCGTTGCCGTATTGAGATGAGTGCCACTGCCACCGTGCTTGGCTCCTCCTCTACCTATCACGTAGGAGGGGAGCTTGTAGCCACTGTCGCCACTGTCATGTCACCATGCCGTCGTCGTTGTCCACCCTGCCATCTTTGCTACTGTCTCTACTTGTCACATAGAGAAGGGTTCACCAGTGCTCCCATGCCCTAGCTCGTAGGGTCCCCCTTCCCCTCTCTCTCCCTCTTTCTCTCTTCTGCTGTATACTCTCATCATAATGGTTCGAGTATAGGGCCTGATATTGGGCCTCACATTCTTGGCCCAATATCACTTTGAAAAACAGCTTAAATTCGTGAATACATATAAGAAATTTTTAGCTCCACTAACCTTTTCCATTAGCTGTAGAAAAAATAATATTCTCAAGGATTATAAATCATGTTAGAGTATTGATTTAAAGATCAAACACAAATTTATTAGGATTAATGTGCATATTTAATTGAAAATTCATGAGATGTATTCTTAAAAATAGTTAGATTTCTTTACATTTGACCTTATCATCTAAAAATGATGCATTAATAGGTTCCCAAGCAAAGGTCTTCAAAATATTGATGGAAGTCCTAACCATAATCTTCCATCTATGTAGAGCACAAGAGCTTGGTGTTGTTAGTCAAATACATGTTTGTCAACATACATTCTTCTCTTGTTACAAGTTAAAAGTAATGGTTCAAATATCACATAAAATATTCATTTTTCTAAGCATTAGGTATGCCCACAAATGTCTCAGGCTCAAAGATATGATCTTCCATGATCCAATACCTTCCTACTACACATTTGTCATAGGGCACTTCAATAGCATCTTGTCAGATATGAGGTTTCAATAGGTCTCACCAACTCCTCTCCTTCAACATCATTTGCTTATGTGAAGCTCAATTGAATAATTATTTCATTTGCAGCTACTTAGACATACTCTGCATGCTCCTCTGACACATGGATACAAGATTCTCTAACTTGTGCCATGCTAATAAATGTGGGCACTCATCCCTCTAGTTAGGCAAGTATGTAACCTTATATTCCATCTTTACTAACCATCACTCTCTTCCTTACCTAAGCATTACCAACCATCACTCCCTTCCTTACCTAAGCATAAATGAATTGACTCTCACATCAATTGTCACATGGTCAATAGAGATATCACTCTAAAATGCTAAATAGTGTGTGGCTTTGAACATCTTCTCCTCAAGTCAAGTAATCTTAAACACTATTAGAACTTCACTAAAGCATGCGAGTTGAGAGAGAAGGCACAACTATTTCACTTTACATAGTACAAACAAGGGAAATGTCTAAACATCAATTGCTCACTACATAGGATGTTACAAGTCTCCACTATATATTACGCCAAAGTGAAGGAAGTGAGGTGTGTCACAAAATATTCATCTTTAGATTATTAGCTCATTTATCTTTCATTGTTTAAAACACATGTTTTTACCACTCTTGGTGTTTGGCTTCCTCTACCAATCAACACTCTTCACATTCTTGTCAATTGTTGTCCCATACACCTATGCCTATTATTATTATTTTATGAACCAATATTAGTTGGCATTTTGTTCACTAATGCTAGCTAACATATTTTACACATCCTATTGTTGTGGTTCAATTATTGTATAAGAAATCAGGAAAATTTAGAAATTTCTAAACACTACTAATTTTTAGATATTTTAAAGTTTTTCTGAATGAATATATCAATCATAATTTGATAAAAAGTTATAAAAATAGTGAGAATTTTTCACATCAATCATAAGGATGTAAGATAATATCATGTAAAATTTACGAATTTGTCTCAAATAGCATTATATTTTTCTAAAATTTAAATTAAATTATCAAAAAATATATATTTTATAATTCATGAAAAGTAAAAAATTTGGTGTCGATGTCATGATGATGTTAGTACCCCAACAAATGATGATTCAAACAAAAATAAAGTTTCTCCTTATTATAATTGTATTAAAAATTATAGACAAATCAATTAATCAAATTAAGGGATGTAAACACCAAAAGAATTACAATTGACTAAATAATAATTTTAAGATTTGAAATCATAAAAATCTTATTGATTTAAAGATTAATCAAGTTTAAAACAAGTAAATCAGAGTTCTGGTGTCATGAAGTAATTATGTGATATCCAAAAGAATTCTTGTGTGATATCCATTGCCTTAAAGGCTCTTTTAAAACATGCATGATGTGGGTAATCTTTGGATCCCCTTATAAAGTTTTGAAATTAATGATAGAGGTTGATGAAATCTCTCTAACAGTTGTCACTCGGTAGAGTGAAAGTTTAGTGGTGAGGGTTCTTCGACAACTAACACTTAGCATGGATGAACTAAATGGAGATGACGTGCACCTCAAGGAGTTTTATCCTTAGGTTCATATAACAAGAAGAGGATGTATTGCATTTGATATATTCCAAAAAGGCAACAACTCCTCTCCTTGCATATCACCCTATTCTCAATGATAATGTATTTTTTGATTAATTGAAAATAATTCATCAAAAAATTAGTGATCTTTTTATCCATAATCTTTTGTTAGTTAGTAACAACTATCCACAAATATCGTTGATGAAATTTTCTTTGATATCAAATAATTCTAGTGGCTTGATCATTGACCAATGTTATTCAAAAAAATCAACCTCTATTTAAAGCTGCAAAGTCAGCATCCAAAAATGGGAAAAGGTCAATAACGGCCTATTCACATTTCTGCTAGGCAGCATGTGGAATGGCCGAGAGCAGACCCTTTTGGACATATAATCCAAGTCAAGAGTAGAGTTATAGGTAGCCATTGGACCACATCCATCCTACCTAAACAGTCACCCCTTTCTTGTCTCTTTTGTCTTCATCCAAAATAGACAAATTCAAAAAGGACCTGCACTATGAACAAGTTTTGCAAAAAATTGCTTCTTTTTTCCGATTCTTTTCCTTTTATTGGCTTTGATGAGTTAAAACAAATAAAAATCATAAATTTTAACTTTGATGTGATTTGAAGCTTTACCCGATTATGTGAGAAAGGATTAACAAAAAAACTTAAATATGCTTGAAATAGTGAGCTCATGACCATGTTTATTTATAGTACAATATGAGTATTATTGGTATTATTTATTTTATTTTAACTTTAAAATATGAATATAAAAATTATATAAAGTCACATAATTAACTAAAATTTCATATTAATCACATCAAAATATATCATGAGCTAAAGTGTAAAAAATATATATTATTAACTAATTATTAACTCATGATAATTAACATTTATTACCTACTTATTAAAGTTATCTATGTCAAGAGACCACATTATTCTACTATGTCATGTGTCATTGCATGTGCACACATCATTATATACCACATGAATCTACATTGTGTTGTCTTACACCATGCACCATTATGCACACTTGTGTGGCCACTGCTCTTTTGAATGTGCCAGATGCACACACATCATGTGCACCTCTATGGACCACTAGTTGGTCCTACATCAACAATGATATTATGTGATCAAAATCGGTATCTAATAAGTTGAGGGTGTGAGAATATAAGATAAACCAAAGCCTACCATAGGATGGTCTAGTTTTGACTTCAGCATATTTGAGAGTTCACTTATTTATGTTAATGCGGAAATAACCTCGTGAGATTCTAATGCACCACTTTCCCAAAGATGCATAAAAATTAAGGCCTTATCTAAGTTCAAAGGTGCTTCAATTGGCACATTTGTCAAATAAGTCTCACCCACCCCATGACATACATATTATCACATACACAATCACCTTGAACTCACCCCCTTCTACTAATCAAATGGGCATTATCCTATAAAATTTCCAAAACAATCAATCCTAGTCCCTAAGCTCCAAAATATTTTGATATCCATCATAAAGTTACATGCTATGCTTCATACCCCTCATGAATTATATCGAATAGGCCTTGCAACTAGGAAATTCACATGATAAGGATGGGACAAACTGCATATATTTCTTAGGTCAACACCTCAAATTCCCTCATATATATTACCTTTCACACTTGCTATAAAACATCAATGATGGGCCTAGTATTAGCAAATCCAAAAGGCCCAGTTAGTTGCAAGCCCAACAATAACTCATCACTAAATGAGATCCTCTATTAAAAGTTAGATCCAAATGGAGATTATACCCTTTTAAAGTGTCAAATGGTGCATTCACTACTGACCTAAAAATCATCCTAGAAGATATTTAATAATAATAATAATAATAATAATAATAATAATATGGTTTATTCTATAATAGATCAAGCATTCATTAAGTTGTTATTGTTGTCAAATTTTGTCGATTAGTGAACAAGTCACAGTTGGTGAAGATCCTTTCCAAGATAACATTAGTGTGCAATCTATCAGATGGTGACAATACACTTGGGGGAGTCTAACTCATTGGACCATTGATTGTGTCTCCTCTTCCCAAAATAAAATATAATGCTAGAAATTGTAAGAAGGTGAGAAATGTAGGGACTTACTGATACTTCGCCACCCTTTTCATATTATTTTCTTTTATTTTATTGGTTTTCATAAGTTTGGAATAAAAATAAGGCCACCATTTTATAACTGGAATCAAATGATAATTGAATAATATTTTTTTAAAAAGATATTAATCAATTAAATAATTAATTATTAGTGACCCCCACCCCCCTTTTTAGGAAACTACAAGAGAGTTCAAATGAGGATTTCTTACCTATATTCTGATTTTTTTATTTAATATATTCTTGAAAATTCAACCATATAGGATGGTTCATTTGATCGATGGAGAATGGATGATTTTCCATTATTTTTTTGCTAAATTTATTTCCTTTTTATTTTCCGAAAAAGGGAGGGTTGAAGAGGAGGGGCGACAAAAACGCCCTGCTTGAGAGATGACATCATCTACAGTCCTAGGCGGACAGATCTTCTCTTGGCCGTCCGATCTCCACTCCGCCAGATCATCGCCGCCATCATGCGTGATCTTTTCTTCAGGCGTCCGCCACCTCAGCGTTATCGGCAGACGCGATCACCATCTCGGGGTGTAGCGATCCGACGGCTGGGATCTCGTCTTCGGAGAGCCCCAGCGCCTCCCGCGCTAGATGGGCCGCCTTCACGCCGGACATCATCATCGCTCCGAAGGTGGGCCCCTGCGGCATCCATGATATATTTTCAGAAGAAAAACCATATATATCAGAAAAAGAAACCCCCACCCAATCAATCATATTCAAAAATAGTATTCAATAATATTAAAATAATTTGTTTATGGAACCCATGTAGAAAAATATATATATATTAAATAAATAAAGCTTTAACATAAAAATTAAAAATATCCATTTCAAAAAAATAAAAAATATATAGATATTCATTCACTCCAAGAAAGCTGGATTTTTTTATTTATAGGAAAAATTTGTGCGATTTAAAAAAAAACCCATAGAAGAGCATGTTAGAGCGGAAGAAACCCTAATCTTGATCTTCCGACTCATAGAATAAAATTACTCAAAAAATATTTTAAAATATTAAACTATCAGTAGTGTAGTCGAGTCGTGCCCATGTAAAAGATATCAATAAAAAACGCACACAACTTCAATCAAGAAAAAGAAAGTTACGATTTTTTCAGTTTTCTATCGGTAAAATACTTCCATATACAGAAACCCCGTAGAGAAAAAAAAAAAAAGAAGAAGAAAACGCATCTGAAGAGATGATTCTCACCATGCGGCAGCATCCCTCGATCTCGGCCACCTCCATGCCTGTAACGATCATCCCGGGCACAACCTGTAAGAACACAAATCACACCCATCTGTGAGAAACCGCGCCCCGTTTCTCTCTCTATCAGTCTCTCTCTCTAAAACACCATTTTCTTTCACTTTCTGTCTCTGTTTCTTTCTTCCCAGTACCTCGCGGGTGAACCGGACGATCTGGTCCTCGGCGGCGTTCATGTCGAGGGCCTTCATCCCGGGGACGTTCTCCACCATGCCGATGCTCCTCAGCCGCTTCACTCCGGTCGCCCCGAACGGGCCGTCGTGCCCGCAGGAGCTTACCACCACCTTTGCCTCCATCACATTCGGATCCATACACGACTGCGTGTCGTGGTTCATCGCCACCAGCGCCCAGTTCGTCACCACCCCCGCCACCCTCCCCTTCCTCACGATCAGATCCTCCGCCGCCACCGCGTTGAACAGCTTCACGTTGGGCCGCTCCAGAACCTTGCTCAGTATCGTCGACGTGAACAGCGCCGCGTGCTTCACCACCACGTAGGAGGAGTCCTCCCCTGCGTCGTCGTAGGGGACGCCGACCTCCTGCAGGAAGAGATGCGCCGGCTTGCGGACGATCATGGCGGAGAAGAGCTGCCCGCCGAGCCACGCACCGCCGCCGGGGGACACGGACTGCTCGACGATGGCGACGCGGATGGCGGGGTCCTTGGAGAGCTCGTAGGCGCAGGAGAGCCCCGCCGAGCCGGCGCCGACGATGACGACGTCCGTGTCGGCGTGGGTGATCATGTCGGTCATGTAGCGGCGGGTCATCTCGCGGGAGACGATGGATTCACGGATGGGCTCGAACTTGAAGTTGTCGAAGTCGCGGCGAGCCGCCGCGGCGGAGATCGACAGGGAGAGGGCCTGCCGGCGCGGCGCGGCCGCGGCGCCGGCCTGCGGTGGCACGGCGAGGCCGTGGAAGGCCGAGCTACGGGCCGAGGTTAGCGCCGCCGCGGTCGCCATGGCTGCCATGATGGAGCTAGAGAGAGAAAACTAGAGAGAGAGGGATGATCGGTGGCGGCGGCGGCGGCGGTGGCGGTGGAGTGAGGTGTGGGGAGGGGGAGAATAAATAGCGGGGAGAGTAGAAATATCGGGGAGGTGTGGGGACACGTGGCGGGGGTGGGATAGAGAATGGGAGGCCACGGCCGCTGCTGCTCGACAGATATTTTCAACCCCCACCTCCTTTCTACTTTTGGGAGAATCTTATCGGGCGGGTAGATACACATCCTTATCGGGTATGCTCTCGGATCCTACTACCCGGTGGGGTTCGGACGGCGATGAGATGATCTATTCTCGACCGTCCAATCACCATATCTCAATCTGGGTCGTCTAAAAATGAGATTTTTTTTATCTATATATCGCACAGATTTTTGCAGTCAACGATGAGAGAGAAATTTTGGCAATGATTGCATGGGTCCACCCAGGAGGTCTGGTCAACTGCAGCCAACGTCGTCGGATAGACCCGATGGGTGACTGCTCTAGAGAGAGAAAGAGAGGTATCACATAGACTACAGAATGGGATTTAAATATAAATCTTGTGGGTCTTTTTTTATAAATAAAACCGGATTTTCCGCCTTTAAAAAATGCGGCGTTTATCAGACGCGAATATTAAGATTTTTTGTAAAAGGGAATATTCTTCTCCCTCTTCTGGGCAATCGATTTTCCGGGGATCGCTTTCCAAGACTCTGAGAATCGGACGAGAAAGCCACAGTGAAGCTGGTGCAGGTTGCAAACGAGTCGCCGTGTACGGAGCCCATATGGACACGTACCCCTTCCCAGGCGATCTCAGGCCCCGGGACGATGACCTGATTTTATGAAGAATCGTTTCCAAACGCCGGATATAAAGCCCTTGGATTCCCTCCACTGGCTACCTTCCACAAATGCAGCAGCTTTCTCATATTTCGTGCCCCCAAAGTGATAGAGACAGAGATAGAGATACAGATAGAGATAGATAGAGAGAGCGAGAGAGAGAGAGAGAGTGAGAGACGGCAAAAGTCTGCCGGCCCATTATCGGCCCCCTACATAAGGTTAAGCCCAGCACCTCTTCTCCAGGGTCAGCGAAGTGCTGGGGATGGGACCCACCCATTATTCTCCACGAAGATTTGTATTAAACCCACAACCCTCCAGGTCAGAGAATTACAATAGAGAGAGAGAGAGAGTGCTAGAGAGAGAGGAATAGCAACTATACCCAAAATTAGATAGATAAAGAACCAAATATCGCTGGTTTTGTTCTCCGACTAACCACTCAGTATAAATATGGGTCAACCCAGGTCAGAGCTTTGCTTACGAGCAGATAGAGAGAGAGAATGGGAAGAGAGGAGAGAGAGAGAGAGAGAGAGAGGAACACAGGCATCATCAAGAGAAAACCATAGTTAGACAAAGCGGCATCCGAGAGTGTCATACATGCCATACGCGTTGCTCACGAGGGAAAAACCATAGGGAATCATAAAATATATGTTTTTTTCCTTGGTATAGATGATCTGCGATTCCTGGAAGAAGAACACAGCCACCAGATGAGCTGCGCCTCTCCTAGAAACCGTGAAGCTTGATGTTCTCCTTCTTCACTATCCCGGCCTGGAAAGCCCAAAAATAAATTGATACATGTATGCGTTTTACTATGGTTGGATCATACTCTAGATCATTTATTCTCGCCTAGTAGAGAGATGATACATACCTGAACGAGGAAAGTGGAGACGTTCTTCCTCTGATCACCTTGCAGCTGGATTACCTGCACAGCAGGTCAAAGATCATCTGCTGATCATACAAGTAGCAATCTTGTGGGCAGGCCAAAGATGATCCATCACCCCCAAGAACCAGCTGATGATCCATCCTCGGTCGGAAGATTCTGCACCAACATGGATCTGTCTGATTACCTGGCCGAGCTCAGGGTCCTGAACGACGGTGCCATTGCAGCAGAACTCCTTCTTGAGGTCCTTCAAGATCTTGTTGTAGCTATACTCTTTCTTCAGTCCCTGAACGGTCGTCAGGCTCTTCCTGCCATTCCGCTGCTGTACGCGGACGTGGACGTACTCTTTTGAACCCGCACCGGAGTCCTCAGCGTTTGCATCAGCAAACGGATCTGAGCCGGAAAACAATGGAGAGAAACTGTTATCCACAATGACGGGGGAAGAAAAAAAGATTAATCAATCAAACTGTGGGTTTACCAAAGGTGGATGGGATCTGGACGTCGAGATCAGACATGAAATCTTGGAAGAGATAAATCAGAGAAGGGACCGATAAGGAATAGCTCTGTTCAAGTGGAGTCCAAGACACCTGGAGTCACATAATTGAGTCGCAATTAATATCCCAATACAATTCAGAAGGAAGATGCGCGATCAAATGATTCAAGTACTAACCAATTCAAATCAACTCGAAGAACACTATATGAATGAACAATCCAAATAGCATGGTAACTAGCAGCATGTTACATAGAATCTAAGGGAATTCCTCGCAAGGTTCATGAGAAAGAATGACAATACTCCCGATAATGGAGAGCATTAGTCACAGAAAATCTGAATGAAAAATAAAACATCCGAGAGTTGCTGGAATGAGAAAACATCTAGAAAAACCTTCAAAATATGTTACTGATACCAGTACAAACAGATCGTACAACGGAGGAGCTGGAGAGAAAAAGCTATTCGCGGATCAGTAGACAAAGACTGCCAGACAGGAGTAAATCTCCGCAAGGAATCCATTAGAAACCTCGAGGAGAATAAAAACACTTTGCGAATCGAGATCTCAAGGAAGCCATGCACACGGGAGGAACACAAATGAGTTAAGCCACCCAGGCAAATGATGACCAAGGAATCGCCTGGACCTTCCTTCTGAGATAGATCTGTGACTCCGAAACGGGGAAAATCGAAAAGTAAAACCAAACCTCGGGCGAAAAGAAACCCTAGACCTCGATCTGGACAAAAAATTACCAGAAACGAAAGGGAACAACCACGGACCAAGAAGAACCTCCCAGAATCCAAAACCTAAGAGATAAACACCGTCCTGTCCACAAAAAAAACCCCAAAAATAAACAGAGAAGATAGACGAACGGGAGAAGCAAACGACCGAAAGACGCGGCCGCGATCGACAGCCTACCTGAATCGAAAGAGGATACGGCGACTGCACCGACGAAGGCCTCGACGAGAACCCGAAGAAGCAGCGGCGATAAGGGGCACCAGCGCAGGATATTTATAGAAAGTAACCTTTCCCGGCGGCGGATTTCCAGCCGAAGCGCACCTACCGCCATCGTCAGCGGTTAAGTAAACCGAAAGGTGCTCACATTGTCCAACCCACAAAGAAAAAAAGAGAATCTTTTAACTTTATTTACTTTATTTTAATTTAATTTAACAGAAAGGTGCCATTTTTCATACCCAAAAAGAGAAAAAAAGAATCTTTAAAGTTTATTTAATTAAAATAAATAAAGATATTATTTTAATTTAACTTTCTTTTTTCCAATAAATTGAAAATATAGATATTATTATTACTATTTAAAATAAATTATTTATTCTGTCCCTATTCAATAAGGAAATAATAATAAGAATATGGTTCTTGTTAAGATTAGTTAGTTGGAGCTTCGGCTGGTGATATTTTCCTAATAATTATAATTTATTTATTCGTAACTATTCCATTTTCCATTAACGCCAAATAAATGGAGCTATTCTTTCCGTTTCCCATGTTACTCAAATGGGAAATCCCCGAGGATCATGGCAGGGGCAATACCGTAATTGTAGGTCTCTTAATCGAGGATTAAATGGGGTTAATCCAAAAAGTAGTGGGCTATTAGTGATTGGATAAGGTTCAAGGGTCTTTGCCCAAATGTCACAGGGAAGATGGTATTTCCCTAATTTATTATGTTTACGAGGGTGAAATCGCCTGACCCGCCGTGTACGGCTTCGGTGGGTTAGCGGCGCAGAACTGGTCAAATTTGCCGTGCTTTAGACGCTTCCAGACAGTTCTTTAACGCCGTTAGCGATCGAGGCATCACGAACGTCAATTCTTACAGGTAAGACCTTAAGATAATTTTTTTTATCAAAAGCCTCCGTAGAGTTAACGACGGGTATTTTGCTTAATAGGCGTAAAGAGTACTAAAACAATAATACGTAGACGTGAGGGTTTAAAATAATTTCTGCCATTCTGACGGAAGATGCTGACGCGTTGCGTGAGGAAAGATCGTGGAACCCTAACAAAGATCGGTCGCCGACCTCCATCAGCCTATAAATCCTGGAGCCGTCGATGCTCGCCTCACAATTTAGCAAGTTCTCAAAATTGCTCGGTTTACAACACCGGAAGAGAGAGAGATTCGTCGCCTGCCGCTCGCAAGGTATACGCCGTCTCTTCTAGATCGCGATGTTTTCTTCCTTCTCTGCCCCGTCGGTTTTGTCGATTTAGTGGTATTTATGGATCTCTCCCTCTGTTTGGCTCTTGTTTGATTGTGAATATGTGATTTGATCCTGGTATGATTTCGTGTTGTTTTACGAGATTTGTATCTCTAGATTCATTGAAGCAAGCTTTCAGGCATGATTCTAAGACGTGTTCTTCCCGTATTTTTTATCGAGAGGAATGGATCTGACGTCTAGCTTTTGATCTGTATGGTTATTTTTTGGTCTTGAGCATGTTATTTTATCCTGGTATGATTTCGTGTTGTTTTCCGCGATCTGCGACCCTTGTTTCTTGAAAGTTTTGAGGCATAATTCTTAGATCTGTGTCCTTATCTTATTTTTTATTAGTTCTTGGTTCCTTCTGTATAGAGAGGGGCGAATCTGACATCTAGCTTTTGTTCTGATACTTCCAGATGCAGATCTTCGTGAAGACTCTCACCGGCAAGACCATCACCCTGGAGGTTGAGTCCTCCGACACCATCGACAACGTAAAGGCCAAGATCCAGGACAAGGAGGGCATTCCCCCGGACCAGCAGAGGCTGATCTTCGCCGGCAAGCAGCTGGAGGACGGCCGTACCCTCGCCGATTACAACATCCAGAAGGAGTCCACCCTTCACCTTGTTCTCCGTCTCCGTGGTGGGATGCAGATCTTCGTGAAGACCCTCACCGGCAAGACCATCACCCTGGAGGTTGAGTCCTCCGACACCATCGACAACGTAAAGGCCAAGATCCAGGACAAGGAGGGCATTCCCCCGGACCAGCAGAGGCTGATCTTCGCCGGCAAGCAGCTGGAGGACGGCCGTACCCTCGCCGATTACAACATCCAGAAGGAGTCCACCCTTCACCTTGTTCTCCGTCTCCGTGGTGGGATGCAGATCTTCGTGAAGACCCTCACCGGCAAGACCATCACCCTGGAGGTTGAGTCCTCCGACACCATCGACAACGTAAAGGCCAAGATCCAGGACAAGGAGGGCATTCCCCCGGACCAGCAGAGGCTGATCTTCGCCGGCAAGCAGCTGGAGGACGGCCGTACCCTCGCCGATTACAACATCCAGAAGGAGTCCACCCTTCACCTTGTCCTCCGTCTCCGTGGTGGGATGCAGATCTTCGTGAAGACCCTCACCGGCAAGACCATCACCCTGGAGGTTGAGTCCTCCGACACCATCGACAACGTAAAGGCCAAGATCCAGGACAAGGAGGGCATTCCCCCGGACCAGCAGAGGCTGATCTTCGCCGGCAAGCAGCTGGAGGACGGCCGTACCCTCGCCGATTACAACATCCAGAAGGAGTCCACCCTTCACCTTGTCCTCCGTCTCCGTGGTGGGATGCAGATCTTCGTGAAGACTCTCACCGGCAAGACCATCACCCTGGAGGTTGAGTCCTCCGACACCATAGACAACGTAAAGGCCAAGATCCAGGACAAGGAGGGCATTCCCCCGGACCAGCAGAGGCTGATCTTCGCCGGCAAGCAGCTGGAGGACGGCCGTACCCTCGCCGATTACAACATCCAGAAGGAGTCCACCCTTCACCTTGTTCTCCGTCTCCGTGGTGGGATGCAGATCTTCGTGAAGACCCTCACCGGCAAGACCATCACCCTGGAGGTTGAGTCCTCCGACACCATCGACAACGTAAAGGCCAAGATCCAGGACAAGGAGGGCATTCCCCCGGACCAGCAGAGGCTGATCTTCGCCGGCAAGCAGCTGGAGGACGGCCGTACCCTCGCCGATTACAACATCCAGAAGGAGTCCACCCTTCACCTTGTCCTCCGTCTCCGTGGTGGGATGCAGATCTTCGTGAAGACCCTCACCGGCAAGACCATCACCCTGGAGGTTGAGTCCTCCGACACCATCGACAACGTAAAGGCCAAGATCCAGGACAAGGAGGGCATTCCCCCGGACCAGCAGAGGCTTATCTTCGCCGGCAAGCAGCTGGAGGACGGTCGTACGCTCGCCGATTACAACATCCAGAAGGAGTCGACTCTCCATCTCGTCCTCCGTCTCCGTGGTGGGATGCAGATCTTCGTGAAGACCCTCACCGGCAAGACCATCACCCTGGAGGTTGAGTCCTCCGACACCATCGACAACGTAAAGGCCAAGATCCAGGACAAGGAGGGCATTCCCCCGGACCAGCAGAGGCTGATCTTCGCCGGCAAGCAGCTGGAGGACGGTCGTACGCTCGCCGATTACAACATCCAGAAGGAGTCGACTCTCCATCTCGTCCTCCGTCTCCGTGGTGGGTGCTAAATCCCAATGCATTTCAGCCATCTACTCTCTTCTTCCGTCTAATCATCTCGACTTTCATGTCGAATGGTTAGCGAATCTCTCCCCTGTTGCTCTGATGCCAAGGCGGCCCCCGCCCTTTGTACTCTGTTTCTTCTCTTCCCCCCCTTCTTCTATGAATTCTAGATTGCTTCTTTCTTCTCGATGTTCATGAACGCATGCTTCTTTCTATATTTCTCTTCCTCCGTGGATTTTTTCACGGTTAGTCGTCGCTAGCGCCGTGGATCTCCTCCACTCCCTCAGCTGCTTCTGCCGGAGAGAGAGAGAGAGATAGAGATGGGGAGAGAGAGAGAGAGAGAGAGAGAGAGAGGATTCCGGTCGGGCCGGATTATGTATAGCCGACCCGGCTCGAAGATTATTTGGGCCGGACAGTCCCGGTCCGGGGCCATGGCTGGGAGCTTACCGGCTCACAGAAACCGACCCCTTCGATAATATGATTGGGTGGACAAAATCTAATAATTTGTGAGGATTTTGAGGGGTCGAAGAGAACGCCCAACCAAGAAAATCGATTCCGAAAATCGGACACTCAAAAATCCAGGTGCCCTGCCGCCCCTCCCCTGTTCGGCGAAATCATGTTCCTCTGCAAATCTCACCCCCTCCCGCTCTCCTCCCTTGGCGTCACCGTCCAGTCCAGATCCTCGCCGGTGAGGGTGGCGGCTACTTCGCCAGAGGGGAGGCAGCACACCTCGCCGCCCGACGATCCCGACGGCGAGCAGCCCTCCAATGCCCCCCAGAAGACCGCCGCCGCCGCCACCACCCCCCGTGTGAGCCCCCAGCTCAGCCGCTGGTCCCGCGCAAGGGCCCTTCGATCGGGCAGGCGGCTCGATCGCCGCCCGGCTGGTGATTCCTCCTCCCGTCGATCTCCTGCTTCTGCTGCGTTCATCTCCGGTTTGTCCGCGGCTGCGTCGACGGCGGTGGCCGCGGAGGAAAGGGAGGACGATGGGAGTTCGGAGGATGAGGAATTGGGCGGCACGGGGAAGGCGATTTACATGGTGTCGGATGGTACGGGATGGACCGCTGAGCACTCCGTAAACGCGGCGCTGGGGCAGTTCGAGCACTGCCTCGTCGACCGCGGATGTCCCGTGAGCACCCATCTTTTCTCCGGGGTAATTCATCTCTCTCTCTCTCTCTCTCTCTCTCTCTCTCTCTCTCTCTCTCTCTCTCTCTCTGATAGTTTTTTACCATCCACATTCTCTGAATTGATGTGGATTGTCTACCCCAGGCTCCAGATTGGGCTTGGGGGTCCAGGGTTTCTGCTGAAATGGTTTATGGTTCATCCCTCTCGGAAGAGCAAGTAATCGCCAATTAGATATTCCCTCACATTGGCAAGTCATTCACCAGGTTTTGAAATCTGTGTTTTGGCTTCCTCAGACCTCAGATTGAGCTGAGACTTAGGGTTCCTGCTGCATGTGGCTTCCCGATTGTCCTGCTCCGAAGAACTAGGAACCACCGTTGGATCTCCTTAATCGCTCTTCTTCCGAAAGATGGGGTCTCCTTATTCCATTGACTTAGATTCTTCGGTTCGAAATTCTTCCTAAATTTAGGTGAATAATTATTCCAAACTGGACGATCGTAGATTGCATCTTCCAATGACGATCCTCCTCCACGCTGTCTGCCACACCTTCTCTGCCATTATAATCAGTAGATGAATGATGCAAGGATTGCTACAGTGGGATGGGCAGATGTTTTGGTAGGGGAAGTTGCACATGATGACGAAAGATCCATATGAACTACTTCTCAGATGTATGAAAACACAAAACCGGGAAGAAAACAAAAAAAATGTAGTAGAAACCTGATTTTGTGATCAAATATCTCATATAATGCTCTGTTCAGAAAACTTCTGAAATGGATAGTCAGCCTACTTCTTGGTTCAGATAATAATATCAGTTGTGCAACATCTGAAACCAAGATATAGCATTAATTTCCATCAATCATGCTAGAAGTTTTTCTGCTCTGGTCAGAAACCTCTCAAATCTATAACCAGCATGCTTCTTGAAATAAATTTTCTGAACAAATCGATCCATGTAATAATATCATTTCTGCATTATCAAGCACAGAATGTGGTATTTCCGAATCAAGCAAGGAATTATCGGTTTTATGTGTTATTTCCGAATTTTATATTGTGTTCTATTTAATATTTGAGATCATCCCCTTTTTCCATTGTATTGAATCTAATTTTTTAAAAAAAACTATACGTGCTCCAACACTGATGAAGCTTAAATCAGGAACTATCTTCAGATTGACGACTTAAACCGTTTAATGGAGATCATAAGCAAGGCTGCCAAGGAAGGGGCTCTCCTGCTTTACACCCTCGCCGATCCTTCCCTGGCAGAGTCAGCAAAGAAGGCATGCCGACTCTGGGGCGTCCCCTACACCGATATTCTGGGCCCCACCACCGAGGCCATCGCCGCCCACCTCGGCGTAGCTCCACTGGGCATCCCACGGGGCGCCGCCAATCGGCAGATCCCCCTCTCCGAAGACTATTTCAAGCGGATTGAAGCCATTGATTTCACAATTAAGCAGGATGACGGGGCACTGCCACAGAACCTCAACCGGGCTGACATTGTCCTCCTCGGCGTCTCGAGGACGGGGAAGACGCCTCTGTCTATATATCTGGCTCAGAAGGGCTACAAGGTGGCGAATGTTCCCATAGTTCTGGGTGTGGAGCTGCCGAAGACGGTGTTCGAGATAAATCAGAGTAAGATCTACTCGTTGATCATAAATCCAGTGGTGCTGCAGACCATCAGGAGGACGAGGGCCAAGAGCCTCGGATTCACCAGCAGCATGAGTAGCCACTACTCAGATATGGATCATGTGAGAGAGGAGCTGGAATTCGCCAGCAAGATCTTCGCTCAGAACCCATTGTGGCCCGTGATCGGTAAGCTGAGAACTGACTTGCTTCCATCAGATTGGTACTTTATTAAATTATTTTTACTAAGAATTACTTAATTTATTGATTCACGTCCATTATTATTACTTCATTCTTCTGATTCGGATGATCCGAAAACTGATTTACTTGCAATTTGATTGGTAGTTTATTATTTTTCTCGATTGCCTTGATTACCGGATCATTGTTTTGGATCTGGGCAACAAGCAAAGAGTAAATTTTCTTGCACATAATTAGTACATTATTATTACTCAATTCTTCTCATTCGATTGATCCAAGAACTGGTTTTCTTGCATTTGATTGTAGTTCACTAATTTGCTCAATTGCCTTGATTACCAGATCGTTGGATTGGATCTGGGCAACAAGCAAAGAGTCAATTTTCTTGCGCATAATTAGTACATTATTATTACTTAATTCTTCTGATTCGGATGATCCTAGACCACTGAATCAACCAAGATAATACGACATATATCTTTACATGTTCATGGAAGGATGTGCGAGTGAGAATCTCCAATCCCCCACCATTGAATCAGTGCATCTGTGGAGAAGCAGTGTTTGAATCATACCTTTCCACTCAATTATATATATATATATATAATATATAATATATATACTTTTGGATTTATGTATTCATATTAATTTTTGAGATGTGAGTATGGTTTGATCTCCATTGATGGTTGCAGAGGTGACTGGGAAGGCGATAGAGGAGACGGCGGCCGTCATAGTGAGGATTCACCATGACCGGAGCCAGAGGTACACCATGCCTCGCATCTCCAGGAGATATTGAGTATGGAAAACCCCACTTCACCCTTTTTTTTTCGGAAAAAATAATAATTGTTCCCTCCCCCGCTTGTAGATAAATGGCTTGTATAGAACACTCTCCACACATTTAATGCAGAAAATAAATAAATAAATAAATAAATAAATAAATAAGAGTATGGTTTATAAGATTGGCTGGTTGGAAAATATTTTATAAAAGAGATTACGTGGATTTTCATGCCTGAAAAGCTGCAAGTGAAAATATTTTCAAAAGCTGATAATTTTGAGAATAAATATTTTTCAGATAACTAGAAAATAATGTAAAAATATCTTTTAATAGTAAAAAACGTGTATAGAAATAAAGAAATGGTTAGAAGATTGTTTTCCGTTGTTATTCGGGTTATTTTTTAAAAACATCAAGTGAATTTCCATGTCTCGAAAGCTGTAACTGAAAACATTTCCAAAAACTGATAATTTTAAAAATAAATATTTTTCAGATAATTAGGAAAAATTATCTAAATATATATATATATTAACAATAAACAGCGTGTATTCAAATAAATAAATAAATATTGTGTGGTTCTAAGATTGTTTGGTTGGAGCTTAGGGGAGTCCTCCCTTCCAGCCCATTATTATTGGGAAATATTTTTAAATGTTTTCAAAAGCTGATAGTTTTGGAGATATTTTTAAAAAAAAATACTTTAAAATGATAAGTTCTTTGTATATAATAAATAAATAAATAGGATTATGGTTCTATTTTTTTGAAAAAAGGATTACATGAATTTTCATTTCTAAACATCTGTGCTATGAAATATTTTCAAAAGCTGATAATTATGAAAATAAAGACTCGTCAGATAACTAGATAATGAGTTTAAAAAATATTATATATTTTTAATAACAAAAAGGCGAAGATAATAAGCCAATGTAGTTAAAAGGGCTCCCCCGAATCCATGAACGATATCCTCCCCCCCTCCCTCTTCCTCTGATTGGTCCCATCACGATCTGAAGATACCATCAACGCCGTCCATCCTCCCCGTGGAAGACCGAGAGGTACAGCAGAATGATGGTCCCCACGCTGGACCTGCATCAGAAGACACTGTCCACATCAGACGGTCGTCGATATCCCACGTGGACCGGGGCGATCATACGGCCATGATGGCCCAGCTTAGTCCGGCCCAATCTACTGTCCTATTGATGAGATAGATAAGCCTCTGTGCGATTGCCACGTGGCATCGCGTGCAATCTCTCTCCCATTTGTGCCACGTGCTGGAACCCTACCACTCTTTGTGTTTGGTGTTGGCGTATTATCTTGTAGATATAAAATAATCTAATAAAGTTTTAAATAATCAATCAACGTGAAGAAATATAATCATTTTTCAGAAATTAACAAAAAAGGCAGACAAGTAATTGCGTCCAATAATAGCATGGAAACAAAAGGTGAAATTATATAAAATAAAATAATTTACCACATATGGTAAGTTCCTCTAAGCTGAAAATTTCCAAAAATAAACCTCTCTCTCTCTCTCTCTCTCTCTCTCTCTCTCTCTCTCTCTCTCTCGGATCAGTTACTCTGGAGGCAGCTTGGATAAGGTTAGTTATCAATCCACATGCAGAATATAAATATTTTCCATTCATTTTAAAAAGACAAAGAAGTAGTTGCGTCCAATAATGAAATAAAATAAAATTTTGAATTTATATAAATAAATAAAATAGCACAAATGGTAAGTCTCTCCTAGCTGATTTTTTAATTAAAATCTCTCTCCCTCTCTCTCTCTCTCCAGGTTCTATGACTATGGAGGCAGCTTGGATAGGATTATTGATCAATGAGCGTGTATAATATATAATATTTTACAGAAATTTAACAGGACAAACAAGTAATTGAGTTCAATATTAATGTAAAAGAAAATTGTGAAATTCTATGAAATAAATAAGATACCACGAATGGTAAGTTTCTCCAAGCTGATTTTTTATTAAAAAACATATATATATATCTAGGATCTATAACTATGGAGGCAGCTTGGATATGGTTATTGATGATTTAATGATCAATGAACTTGTAGAATATAAAATATTTTACAGAAATTTTAAAAGGACAAACAAGTAATTGAGTTCAATAATAATGTAAAAAAAAAAAGTGAATTTCTATGAAATAAATAGGATACCACGAATGGTGAGTTCCTCAAAGTTGAATTTTCTTATTTAAAAAAAATATCTCTCTTCTCTCTTCTTCTAGGATATGTAACTATATGAAAGGTCAACTCTTGATTTAATGGTCAATCAACGTGTGGAATATAATATTTTACAGACATTAAATAGAGATAATAACTTAAAAAATACGAGATTTTATAGAATAAGATGCCACAAATGGTAAGTGTCTCCAAGCTGTTTTTTTTTTTAAAATCTCTCTCTCTCTCTCTCTCTCTCTCTCTCTCTCTCTAGGATATGTAACTAAGAAGGCAGCTAGGTTAGGTTTAGTGATCAATCAACTCTTGATTTAATGATCAAGCAACGTGTGGAATAGAAATATTTCTCAGACATTAAAAAGAGATAGAATAACTCAAAAAGACGAAATTCTATAGAATAAATTAGATGCCACAAATGGTAAGTTCCTCCAATATTTTTTTATTAAAAATAGTGCTTTCTCTCTCTAGACATCTAATTGCATTTAAAAAACATAAAAATAAAAATAAAATTCTATAAAAGGAAGAAAAAAACCCTCTCTCTCTCTCTCTCTAGGATTTGTAATTTAGCTTCGATACGGTCAGTGATCAATCATGTTTCAGTGCAAAATGTAAAATTTAAAAAATCCAGGGTATTTTTGTTAAAACGAGGACTTACAAGGTGGCGAACAATAGGAACACCATCCGTGGGACCCCTCCGGCACCGGCGCGGCGCCGGCAGCGGTGTCCCCTTCCACTGTTCGCCTTCCATGGCGCCGCTTCCAGCGGGCTGGCGGCGGCGGGGATAACCACCGCGACGAACTTCTCCGCCACTTCGCCGCTGCCGCCCCCAGGCGGCGCCGCCGTGGAGGGAGAGGAGAGAGAAAGCAGAGCTTCTGGGCCGTCGCCGCCACCCTCCGCCGTCGCGGGGTTCTTCCTCTGCGGCTTCTGAGACTGAGAGAAGAAGAAGAAGTGAGTGAGGAAGATGGAGAGACGGCGAGGAATGAAGAGTCTTTCTCTGAAACTTACCGGCATTCCTTGGCGGCGCTCACCGAGAGATAAAGAGAGAAGAGAGAGAGAGAGAGAGAGAGAGAGAGAGAGAGAGAGAGAGAGAGAGAGAGAGAGTACTGATACCAGCCTTGCCCGAACTTGGTCTTCAAACCCTAGTTTAGAGAGAGAGAGAGAGGCACTACTGATACCAGCCTTGCCAGAGAGAGAGAGAGAGAGAGAGAGAGAGAGAGAGAGAGAGAGGGAGGGAAGGAGGGAGAGAGGAGAATAGGTGGCAGTGGTTTGAGGATAACGATCATGGGGGGAGAGAGAGGAAACAGGGGAACCAAATCGTCATAGGCAAGCGGGAAAGCGATCGTCCAACTGCAAGAGAAACCCGTTTGGAGAGATTGGAGAGAGAGAGAGAGGGAGAGAGAGGGAGAGAGAGGGAGAGAAAGAGAGAGAGAGAGATGGGGAGAGAAAGAGAGAGAGAGAGATGGGGAGAGAAAGAGAGAGAGAGAGATGGGGAGAGAAAGAGAGAGAGAGAGGGGAGAGAGGAAGAGAGAGGGGAGAGAGGGAGAGAGAGAGAGAGATAGACAGTGTGTGAGAGAGAGAGATTCGGATGCCTCCATCGCGTCTCACGGGAGACGTCGCCGTCGACAAGGAAGTATCCCGAAGGGGTACTCGATGGACGTCACTTCCGAATCATCCCACCGTTGAACCGTCGTTCCGTTCCCGTTAGTTGACTTGTCCATCAGGGACCGGTCTCGAGCACTGCCGGCGGGGGGTTGGGGGGGGCGCCATGGAGCCCAATAAGACGCCGACTCACTTGGCCCACTGGAGGCCTATTAACAGGCCAAGCAGGGCCCGAGAGAGAAAGGATACGTACATATTATATTACATGGTAAAGGTAGGAACGGTACATATATACATAAGAAATATAAGAGGCTCATAACCATATTGTAGATATTTTCAACATTTAGGGTTTTAATGTAATTGTAAAATAAAAGAGGATCAATTCATAAAATGGATGGCTGTCCTCAGGCAACGAAGTCTCCACCTATATTATATTAATAAGAGATTCATTTCGATATTTGAGATATTTTTAAACTTTAGAGGTTTAAATGTAATTATTTCTTTAAAAGAGGGTAAGTTCATGAAATGGGTGACCCGAATACCGACCTAGACAACGAAGCCTCTACCTTTTATTATAATAAAGTAGGGGCAATAAAAAGCATATATATATAAACCCTATTGGAGATATTTGTAAACTTAAAAGGTTTAAATGAAAATTTTTATTTTAAAGGGGGTCAGTTCATTAAATGGATGACCCGAAGGCCGACCTTGGAGAATAAAGCTATACCTTTTATTATATTAAGCAAGGGGCAATAAAAAGCATATATATAAACCCTATTGTATATATTTTAAAATTAAAAGGTTTAAATGTAATTGTAAATTTTAAAGAGGGATAGTTCTCGAAATGGATGACTTTCGAGGACCGACCTTAGAGAACGAAGCCTCTATCTTTTATTGTAATATAGGGGCATAATATATATAGTGTAATACCAATTTCATATTTTGTTTAAAGATGAAGGTACTAATGTAGTTATTAGTTTAAAAGAGGGCCAATTCATTAAATGGATGACCCGAAATGGAATCCCGAAGGTTGGAGGGCCATCCTTAGGGAACGAATCCTCAGCGCAACCGGTCAGTCTCCTGCGGATTGCGACTGTGAGAATTAGGGTTCTGTTCTGATCGCTCTGCGGGGATCTATTCCGGCGATTTCACCGACCATATCTCGTAGATTCGTGAGGCAGCGGGCGGGCGGTGGTGGTAGCTTTCTGATTTTCGGGTTTCTTGTGCCTCTCCTGGTTCGCCTTGCTCCGTCCGGGGGGCTCCGTCGTGGGTCGATTCTTGGTTGAGGCTTATTTCCGGTATACACGATGCTGGAGCGGAAGCTGTACAAGACGAAATTATGCATACTCTACCAGAGGGGCCACTGTGCGCGCCAGAGCTGCTCCTTCGCCCATGGAGAGGCGGAGCTGCGGCGATTCGGGGGTTCCATGAATGGTAAGGGGATCCAGGGCTTGGATAGTTTAGAGATCGTTCGCTTTTCTTTTATTTTCTCATGGTAGATGGTGTTCCCTTTTGTTGATGGCTCTCACCCGTAATCCATCCATTCACTAACTGAGCAAAAGCATTTTATTTCTGGATGATTCATACTGAAGTGGACTAAAATTTATTAAAGTTTTTGCTCCTATTTTGCTGTGCCCTTTACTTTTCCTGTGCGAAAATTTGGAGTGTCGTTTTTAAAATGCTTTTCGATACATGGGTTTTCGTGCTCTCCCAAAGAGAAGGAGGAGAAATCATTGTAAACGCATTCATTTTTTCAATTTCAGTTGCTCTCTTTTGTCACTCGGGAATTATGGGTTTGTTTCACTTGGATTTTTCTATTGGTTGATGGACTACAATATGAAAGTTGGTGATCCGTGTATTGATCCCTTCACATTTTCTGGTTCTTGTCTGCTCAATCCATCTTTTGTTACTAATTCAATGACTTTTTAATGGATTTCCTCTTCTCTCAGTTTCATTTGAAGAGTCCTTTTATTCTTATGTCTTCTCATCCTTTTATGTTTTCCTTGTTGAAAGACAGGTGAGTAATATTAATCTTGTATGTAGGATGCTTGAATGGGAATGGGATGGAAGCAGGTGAATGTTAACCATTTCTTAATTACATTGTACATCTTCTCAGAAACAGTAGTGGAGGTGGGCAGTGGGAATGATTTCTGGAACCAAAGCTGAAGTCATCCGATTCACTTATATCCATTGCCAAATATCTTGGAAGTGGGAGTCTTAAATTTTCAGTGAAGTTGCACTACATTCTTATCGAGCTGCAGGGAAAAATGAGCATGCAACAGTCCAAAAGTACAGATCAGCCCTTTTGTATCTAGGTGTCGTCTTCGGTTTGACTTGCTGACTCAACTCTTACATTAACATATAGAACTGAACTTGGCAGAGGTCTAGTCATATGGAAATTGGTATTATGAACTCGTATTTGTTCGGTTTACCTAAGAGATGAGCCTCACATTACCATAGGATTGCAAGAGATAATACAACGATCTTGGAATAAAGTGTATGCTTTCATATCTATTGATGATGCCTACTATTCGGGGATTCTGTCAACCGAGTGCCAAGTCTTTGTCTATCTTCATCAAGTTGCTTTGATGGGATATTTGCATGTCCTGAGTAGGCAGATCACTTAAGATGGTCTACCACTTAGCATGTCTCGTGGGGATTGATGGTACAGAGATGAGCGCTAGTGATATGTCTTGACACTAATGTTTTACATTTTCATAGTTAATTTATTTCAAGAAATATAATCGGAGCATGAAAGAATCTGACATAAGTCTTTGTCTTATGGATGGCGATTTATGTCGTCAAGTATGCATCTATCTTCTCTTTAATAAAAAAAAAAAGTCATGTATAAATCTAAACTCTCCATTATATGCTTTCCTGACCTTACTTTTATGAATGAAGTAGCATCATTTTTCAGATAATTCGCCATTTCTTCTACTAGTAAGCTAACTCTGAAAATGTTTGTCTGATCTTGCTCTTTTATCTTGATTTTTGGTAGATTGATTTTCTCTCTCGAACGACTTTTTTTTGACAGTTACCCTTTTCGTCAATCTTAAAACTGAACTGCAGATGAAAACCTTGCACTTGTTTATTCTTCAGCATATATCAGATTCTTAAGCAGTCTTCAAGTTTGTTGCTGATATGATATGGCATAGATATTGGCTCTTGATTTGTTATCAGTCAGGCAGCCTATTCTTTGTTCCAACAGCCTTACTTTTATCATAAACATGGCACGCATATGCCATTCTTTGGTGTGAAGTTTAAGTGGAATATTTGAACTCCAATTGAAGGTGATTTACTCAAGTACTTACTATAACGGCAAAATGGGACTCTGACATATTTCTGTGGTGCTGGTCTTTTGTTTCGGATGAAAGATATAAAATTTACTTTGGCTGGGATGATTTTTGAAATTCATTTTGCATGTCCTTATCCATTACATGTCAGACAGTTTGATATTCATAATTCGATTATAAGTCGTGCAGTGTAGGTAACTACGTTACCTTCTTGGTCCCGTTTTTTGTGCATTATCCTCTTGGATTCATGAGGGGTCCTCAGATAGAGAAGTTCAAGCATATTGTGGAAGTGCTTATAACAGAGGAGACCAAACATATTGGATGGAGTTGGATTATTGCTTAAATCTGTGTAAGTTATTTGAGGATCAATAAATGGTTTCGATCACAGTTTTTGTAGGCGCCAAGGCAGCGATGCTGGCCATGCCTTTATTATTTGCCTCTTTCCTATCCAAAGGACTGTCTGAGTATCTAGAGCTCGAACATGGGTATTCTCCTATTGATTCATTTTCATAGGCATTCTTATTTGGTTGCCTTTGTGGAATTGGGAAGAAGGCGATTCTGCTTATCGTGATTAAATTTCTGAGGTCAATGGTAAGCCTGGCCTGGTTGATGGATTTACAGGCGTTCGCATTACTCTCCGTCGACGGACTGGAAGAAAAGTCTCTTTTCTATTTGCATAATTTTTTCTTGTTCACAGGTAGACGAGACTATCGTGGTGGTGGTGACCTTAGAGATAAGCTTGTACGAAGATATTCTCCGCGTCGCCGGTATTCCCCTGGTAGAGATGGGAGAGGACGTCAGGTGTTTCATGGTCATAAAGGAGTTCAGCATGACAGAGGTAAATATCAATGTTGAAATTTTTATCTTTTACCTCACATGATTATTGTGGTCTTTTGGTGGATGGGCGTGGGGGAAATTAGCTTTGTATAAATTATGATCTTCAATTGTGTAAATGTAAAGAAACATGATTAATGGACGAATGGGTCACCAAGTGCCTTCGTGTCCTTTTATTTTCTGTCATTTCATAAAAAAAATTGGGGCATGAGGACGTTGATATGATCCAGAAAAATTTGAATTATTTACCAGTTCTTTTCCGTTAAGTGATTTGCATTGAACATCTTACTTAACAAGCTAAATGAATTTTCAGGGCACAGTGCTTCAAGGTCTCCTGAAGCAAGGAGGTACATGGATTTCTATTTTTAAATGATTTTATTTGTGAATTTCAAAAGGTCATATATATCCACGATATCCCGATTGAGGTGTCAATGTCACAACCAATCAATCTACTTGTTTTGGAATAACTGTGAATGATGGTGACTTATTTGTACGTTGCCTTCTTTTGTAGTAGAGGGCAGAAGAAGAAGCCGCATTTAGATGGACATAGTGATGTCTCTGCAAGTCTCAAGACATCTGATGGTGCCGAAGATCAGATCAAAGACATAAAAGTTTCATCTTACAACGAAATAGATGTTATTGAAGAGCAGGTCTTCATTTTCGAAATGATTATTTTCTTTCAAAACTGATCAAGTTTTGCTCAATTGAGTGCTTTAATCTCACTGGTATATCTTATTTTGTCAAAAATCCATGCAGTTGAAGCAAACACAGATGGATATTGAAATGTTTGACGATCACAAATGCCAATTAGAGGTAGGCATGAGATTTATTACTTTGATGCCTTATTTCTATGAGTTTTTAGGAAATGAAGTCCCAAGTTTCGACTCATGTCTTCATGCCCGGATTGATAAATACTTTTACTTTGTGTATAGCTCCGTTTCTTTACTCATTTATCATAACTGAGTTCAGTTTGCACTTTATATGCTAACATATTATATTCTGTTATATGTTGTTGATTACTGAGTACACACTGTTTTACAGGTTAATTTCTTTTTTTATGTTGCAGCTGCTTAGATGTATCTATTTCTGCGAAGTCATTTTCTGTAACCTTTAATGGGAATACTTATTGTTAACATCTCTCAATTATTCTTACGGTTTCTTTTGCACCTGGGTCTAATTTTGTCTTCCTCTGCTGAAGATGTTCATTGAAGAGAAAGCTCAAGAGGCAGACAAGCTTTCTGTAAAAATAGAAGAGCTTGAGACACAACTGGACAAAGAGCAGGAAGATTGCAAAAGGTTCCGTTTGACCCACTGAATCCTTTTTCGATGGAAAAAATGAAATCGCTTGAGTTTCCTGGGACCTTTTTGTCAAGTGAGACTAGTTGAGGCCTTACTCTTTTACCTTATGGTATCTTGTCCTCTTCAGGTTTACCTCCAAAATTAAGAAGTTCATTAAAGCACAGGCGCGTTTTTCTAGGGCACAGGAGGAGTTAAAGAGGTTAGTTTATCGATATGTGTGGCTTTCCAGGACATCCGATCGGACAAGCCTTTAAACAATTTGGCAGAACTTCTCATAACTGTTGATGTTATGGCTGCAACAGGTCGCAAGCTCGTCTTCAGAGGGTCTGCAACCAGGTTGATGCTGATGCTTCTAAGCAAGGCAACAATGAAGAAGATTCGAGTATTCATGCCATTAGCGATGGGGAGCCTAGTGGTAATGGACGTTTGAGTCCTAGGATTGAGATACATAACCATTCTTCTCCGATGAAGAAGAAACTGAGATTTGAAAGTGGTGCCAGCGAAGAAATGAAGACAGGTCTTGTATATAATCACTCTGTAAATGTTCTTGGTGAAGAGTTATCCAGCAGATGAGATCGTTTGGGAGATTACTTAACATAGACACCTTCTATTTACTGCATCACTGAGCTCCATTGCTTATCAGTAACTCTTATTCAGTCTGTATTCCCATGATTCTAGAATATTATCGATGGATTCTCTCTTTTATTGTGGGCCGTTGGAGGCAACCTTGGGTGCAAAGTATCTGCTTTCGAGGGCATTCGATCTTAGTTCCGATCACTTTGCTTTAGATTCCCTTTGTCATTTCTACTCTTTCAAGTTCTCTATGAGATCAACTGAGTGGTACCAATAAGCTTCGTCTTCTGGATATTACCCCATCCTGACCCTTTCTCCCAGCATTTTATTGGGGGATTTTCTTGTGTGTTGCGCTCATTTCTGCAATCCCCAGACTACTGGGGAGGTTTATGCTATTATAAGGAGGGAGACCCTCCAGTTTTCTATTCCAGTTGAGCTCTATCTATGAGTTACTTGGTCATTAGTCTTTCAATAATTGCTGTTATTCTGGTAATCTTGTCCTTAACCAGGAAGCCAGCGGAAAAGGGAGCGGTCTCTGAATTCAACGAGGGTGGAGAAGGTTTCGCGAAGTGAAACATTCATTTCCCAATCAGAAAACAGAAATAGGGAAGCTGATGGAGTGAATACTTCTCTGACTAGAACTGATGTACATAAACATCTGGGCGACGAGTATCGGCAGAAGGATTCTAGTAGCTCTCCTACCATTGCACCTTCGGCCAAGGTACCTCTCTTTCTCTTTCTCTCTACTTTTTATGTTTCAAAATAATGGCCTCTGAGAAGGTTTATGGCTTCTTAAATCTTTTGAGACCAGACTGGATAACCAACACTACTATAATTCCTGGCTATGTTTAGTACGAGAGAGAGAAAAATAGATTTGCTGAAAACTGTGTCACTTGCACCTTTGGACCTGCGTTGGCTTTCATAAAGGGTAGATGTTCCCTGTACATCACATGGGATTGCATCTGTGTCTCCTGTGGAAAATACTGAGTGAGGGATCATTTACATTGATTGCTGAATTATGGGCTTTAAAGATATGTACCTCATCAAACAAGGAAAGAGAGGCCGATCAAAAGTGGATAGATTGCGTATTAGGTGGTTTCGTTTGAGATGAATCCTAATGACATTATATTATGTGGAAGTGATTTTTCTAGATTGCGTATTTGAAGTATGATTCATAAATTCTTCGGCTAAGTAATCATATTAGTGGAGGTTCCATATTCATGGGCCTTTTGATTTCTTTTCTTCATTCTTTGTTCTCTGTTAGCTTGGGATGCCAATGGGCCAAGCAAAACTGCAGTCTGGTCTGGTCAAGTCGATATTTTCTCTCTTTTTCCGTTGACCTCAATGCCAGCCCCTCCAATCACGTACTTGTCACCTCTCTCTCTCCCTCTCTCTCTCTCTCTCTCTCCCTCTCATATAGTTTTATATGGAAAGCCACGCTGAGCTTCACAGGGATATTGCCTGGGGCCTGCTTGCCAGGGTCTTACATAGGCCTAGACTTATATAATCAAGTAGATTTTCTTCATTCTCTCACAAGTATTCAAAGACTCATGCCTACTTTATATAATCTACAGGCAAGGGGATCAGAGTCTGGTCGCCTGTTGCCTTCCACAAGCATGGCTGCTCATGCAGTGGACGAGTTCATCGAAGCCATGGACATGGAGGAGAGGTCTGAAGGTGGAGATGCTGCCGCTGCATATGAGAACGGAGTTGTAGATCATAAGACGGGGATGCCTTTTCTGCCTCCCCTCCCTCTGAAAGCCTCCCAAAATGACTTCAGCCAGGTCAGACTGGGCTCCACGTTCCCTTTTTCCTCCCCCCATCAAAATTAAGAATCTACTTTGACTTTTTAGTGGTTGACATTTTCTTCCCCAACAATTGATCTTGTGAATTTATATCTTGCTCTAATTCTTCACATGACCCCTTTTTTCTAGCAAAATTAAAGATTTCAGATTGTTTGGGCCACGTGGGTTGTGACATGTTCTTCCCCAGTTACTGATCTTTTGAATTTATGGCTGGCCCTGGTTCTTTATATTCTCCCTCTGTTTTAGTGATAGCTTGGATCATCTGGGTTGACCTTTTACTCTCCAAAAAACTGATCTTGTGAATTTATGGCTGGCCCTGGTTCCTTATAATCCCGCTGTTTTAGTGATAGATTTGGACCATCTGGGTTGACCTTTTATTCTCCAAAAAAACTGATCTTGTGAATTTATGGCTGGCCTGGTTCTTTACATTCCCTCTTTTTTAATGACTGCTTGGATCATGTGGGTTTACTTTTTACTCTCCAAGAAACTGTTCTTGTGAATTTATTATAGCTGGCTCTGGTTCTCCACACTCCCCGCCTTTCTCTGAGTGAAAGATTTCACATAGTTTTGGATCATCCGCATTTGACATTCCCCCCCCCCCCCTTGAAATTTCAGTACGAGGGTGATGATGAGGAGGTCGACGTGGAAGACATTGACGTTGACATTGATGATGAAGCCGGCAACAGCGAGGTGGAGATCGAGCAGGTCTGAAACAGTATGTGGATCCCCTCTGCCAAGATCTTCTTGTTCATCTCCAGAGGTTGCGGATCATTCAGCCAGAAAAATGAAAAGAAAAATTATGCCTTGTTTAAATCCTGCTTTTTCATGCTGAACTTACTTATTTTGGCATGGTATTTCTCTTGCTGTCTTTTTGACCCGGAAATCAGAGAAAAACTCACCATGCTGTAGATTTCCTTTTTGTCAGGGAAGAATGTGCCCCCACTCTCTCTGATATCTTTATTATTATTATTATTATTACTTTTACTATTATTAGAGTTTATTAATATGATTATGTAGTTATGTTCACTGTCGTTGACTTTTTGAACCCGTTTGGAGTTCTTGACCTTTGAGTGGGGATTATGACTCAAGATTGCCTGGGTCTGCCATCTCAGCTCCCGGTATTTTCATAGCCTTCTTAGAAATGTTTCCACGTGGCTAGTCAACTGTATTACGGGTCAAATGATCTGTCACGTCAAACTGCCATAACTGCTGTTGCTTGCCCAATCATCTCAAGTCCTAGGACCCACACGTTCATCAGCAGTGGCCCCCTTTGGATATATTGAAGCCCAAGCTGATTGGTGTCTGTGGACTGAAAAAGGAAACCTGATTGAAGATTTAAGTCCCAAAAAAGGAAAGTCGCCCCTCTTTTTTCAACAGAAAAACATTATAATTTCTTTTGGTTACAACATATCAGCCCAGCTTGTTGATGCCCTAAAAAAAAGGGTAAAAAAAACCCACTGTAACAGCCCAATGAGAAAGTCAAACCCTACAAAAGTAAACGGAGATGCCACGGCCAGCTGGACCGCTCTTGGGGAATTTCCCAACTTTTTCATCAGAAAAAAACAAAAAATTATTAGTTCTAATGAAAAATCAAACGCCCACAAGGAGCAGAACCATGCAGATATTTGGAAATTACTCCTTTTCCCTGCAAAACAAAACAAAAAAGAGCAGTTTTTGATCGCAAAGGTTTCTGCCTGCTTCCTCTGCGCAGCCCTGATGAGGATCAAAGCCTAAAAATAGAAAGTAAAAGGGGGAGATGCAACAACCCAGTGAAGGATTCTTGGGAACTCTTCCCCCTTCAAAATTTCTCACAAACTTATTGACGGCAATATTCCGAAAAAGGGCAGCCCTCTGATAGTCAACCATCTTCTTGCGCTCTTCCCTCCCATGGAGTTGGAGGGCTGAAGGGAGCTGCTTACCACCCCCAAGAACACACCGGCAAACATAACCTTACCACTCGAAGATGGGGCGAGTGACATCTCACCACAAAATCATCTTGCTGGGCCTGCAAATCTCTTCATCATCTGTTGTCCCCGGCCCCCGCTGCCGCTACCGCCGCCACCGCTGCTGCTGCCGCTGCCGCCACCGCCACTGCCCATTAAACTCATTCCTCGAGCTTAAGAGCTGGTGAATCTGAGTCAAGAGCCTTCAGCTCTGGAGATCAGAGCTGGGTCCTGAGCCTCATGAGAAGCACCTGCATGGTCTCAAGGTTCTGGTTGAGCTGCTTTATCTCTGCGAGTTGGTGTGGAGGAAACTCCGGGCCGGTGAGCTCGGCGACCAAGGCAGAGCACTTGGCCTGCGAGTCGGAGAGCACGGTCTCTAGAGTGGCCATAGTTGACTCGGAGGCCACCTTGAGGTTTCTGCCACCGGAGCTCGGAGAGGGAGCAAAGCCAATGCTCCCAATGCTGCTGCACCTGCTGAGCCTCTCAGGGGAGAAGATTCGGTCCACGCTCTCTCTCCCTACAAGGCATCGTGATAATTGCAGGAAGCTCAGAGGGTGGTTACTATGATAATTGAATGATTAATGCATTGCAGGACCAACAATATATATTTTAAAATTATTTAGATGAAAATCCATGAATATCTGATTGAAGTCCACGAGAGCACTGTGGCTGGGAGGCTGCCACACAAGCGTAGATAACAGAGAGATTAATGGATTGGAGGATCCCTAGCAGATGCTATAAAATTAATGAGATGAAATGCATGAATACTTTTCAATGAAAGGTTATTGGGGTGAATGGTGGATACTTTTTCCTCAATCTGATCCCAATTCAGGCCATCAAACTAGTAGACTGTTTATTCCAAAACCAGTGGGTGGTGAATGGGTGGAGCCCATAAATTGAATTAGAGAGTTTAATCTATATCTCTTTCAATGTGGTGCTCTCCAGGCTTTCCATGACTCTGCTATACGGACAACATAAGGGAATCAATTGGAGCTTAGATATGGCTATGAAAAGTGAAAAAATAGGCACAGGGAACTAACTGCTAAATACATAGAATATATATATATTATAAATAATTTAATTCTTACCAAGGTTGCTGAGCTGGTCTATAGTAGCCTGGCCGACTGATCCATCAAGTTTCATAAGACGCAAAATTCCTGCTGTAATTCTCCCAATGGAGTCAACCTCTGCACTGCAAAGGGTGGTGAGGTGTTCCAGTTCATCCCGTGTGACGACCACCTCGACCTGGACAGAAACAACTGAGCACAACTTTCCATTTTTCTATCGATCGAGAGAGGCAGAATGGACAAGGCACAGTTCAATTACCGGTTCTTTGACTGAAAATGTCAAGTTTTCCACCATCCACCTGGCCATATCCTCGCTCTCACCTTCAGACATTACCATGTTGACTTCCAGGTTTAACCCCCCATTCGTTGTCCCCAGCTTGCTTTGGACAAGAGGATCTCTTTCTCTCATCGAAACATCTGCCAGAGAGTTGGTAGAGAGAGGCTTCAATGCCTTCAACCCGTCTACAGACACCTGTGACGATTCTCCGAGAGTCAGTTCGCGACAATCTTTACAGTACAGGAGTTGACAAGAGTGATGATCTAATAAAATGGAACCAGACTGCAGCTAGATTGGTGCGTCTTCAGTTATTGAGCTCATGAAATCGATTAAAATTAGTTCCTTTCATCATATAATTAATTGGGTAATTAACATCACCAACAACCAACAAAATAAAATAAGGAGTGAGTTTGTAGAATAAGACGCCTACTATGAGACATTCCACTGGATACTTATTTGATCTGCATAATTTTCCAGCATTATCTGAGTCTTGCGAGATGCTTTTGGCTTTCACTTTCAGACTATGAAATGTCGCATGCCAGCACCGATCTGCCCTTCTCATGTCCTCAGAGTTGTGATATAACCACTCCTCCCGCGACTCTAGCACACCTTCAAGTGCAAACAGCCAGTCCTCCATCTCCAAGCATATATCGATGTCATCTGGCTTCCCCAAATCCAAAACTCCTATATTGAGCTCGTCTTTCAAATACTCATCTGAAAATTTGACAAAAAAACCAATCTAAAATCTAGAGAAGAAGCACAATATTAGGCAAAATTGGAAACCTTTGGTGTCTGATGCATCGGATAAATCAAATATGCGTACGACCAATTATCCCAAACCAGAAAACAACAGTGAAAAAAAAATTATTGAGACAAATGATAGGAAATTACGGCCTAATGGGTGCCATATGATTGCTGCTGCTGAAATAACATCGATTATTTGACTCATGCTTTCAACAAATTGGAAATGAAATCCAGTCATCTAATATTATGTATATCATTGAAATATGTACGAGATGGTGTCTTTCCATAAAATATACAGATCGTAGGAAACCAATTACCTGATTTTATGTCCCTAAATTTGAGAACACTCACCTACATTCAGAAGATCTACAGACAAAGATTCTCCACTAGGTTGACTGGAAATTTAGAACGGAGTTAGGAACTTTTGTCAGAGGGATTTCACAATTTGGGTGTCATTCAGCGTTATCAATCAGCGGTCAAGAAATACTAAAAAGAAATGCCACAAACCAGATTGAACTAAACCAAAGCTAACCCATTAGTCATCCATCCAACGCAATCAATCACAGAATATTCAAGCTGATGAAGAACCAAGTCACTCTGAATCGCAGCTAATCCACCTATTGTTTCGATCCGATCCAACCAGGCGTTTGCTACCATGGCTGATGTTAATGCAATGACTAAAATAGTCTGAATCCCAGTCCAACTTGTATAGTTCAGAGCAATATGGGAATCGCTGGATTCATGAGCCATTTAATATTCATTATTCGATGCAGAAAAGACCGTTTAAATTGCACATCATTCTTCACCAGTGGAAAAATTTAGCTGGATCTACGACTAGGAACTTCCCTGTAAATTTCTTATCAACCAACCAAATGAAATATACGATATTGATAGAGTCAGAAAGCGAAGGTTGACATCAAGGTGATGGCTGCTTGCATTACTTGCACAATATCGTTAGGTTCTTCAGAGCGGACACCTGTGGTCTAGCTACGTAATCCATGCTCATTTACCAACTAGAAATGTACGTAATATCTCAAGATAAAACTTACTTGTTTGTGAAAATATTTGTACATATAGTGGCAATATGCAAAAATACAAAAGGTTTCATACATACCTTGCTCTTGATTGGAGTCAGTGAGAGGTGACGCTCTCAGAAGCTTTCCCAAGGGCCCAGAAGATAAACGTTCTAGTCCTCTTGAGAGCCCCACTCCAGGACCACCATCTGGTGCCAATATACCAAAACGGTGAAGTAAAGCTTCAGTATAGTTCATTCCGCCACCAAGACGGACACCAGTAACCTTGGCAGATACATTTAAGCTGTGGCACTCCATATCTTTCACATTATAAGGGATCACATGAACTGCATTTATCTCCAGAAAAGGGACCGGCTTCCAAAGATCCTTACTTTGGTTATTAATCCAGAAGACAGATCGCATCTGTGGGTATCCATTGCCAGATACCAACAGGTCCTTTTTCACAGGCGTCTGTACATTATTCTCATCAGCAAGTATCTCCTCTGCATCCACACACTCCACTCCAACACTCCCCCAATGTAAGTTCGTTGATATCGCAAATGCACCACCTAATGTCCGATGAGAAACTTTGACAAATAAATCCTCCCCACTGAACTTCACCAGAGGCATTCCTTGAATATTAACAGAAGAGGAGTCCAGAAATTTAAGCTGGAGATCAGTTACAGCTAAACTCACTGCAGTATCACTGGGAGCCTTTTCCAATAATTTCTCTAGTGAGGTTTCACTAGTACTTCTCCGTCTATTGCTTTTACTAATTTTCAGTATCTGATCACTGACACTACCAAAGTATGCATACAGATCTAGAACAAAGAACAGCTGCTCAACAGATGCGTTGGACAGATATTGTTGGCAAGCCGCACCAATTCTGACAATACCACCTGGAGGAGGCACATCTACCAGTGGGGTACCATCTGGGGTCACCATCGCTGCCTCAAAGCAGGCTTTCTCCAGTTCAACGCACGTCCACAGACCTGGGGATCTATCAGAAGTCTTTTGTCCTGTTAACCCACTGCAAGTTTCAAGAGAGACAGAAAGATATGAAACCTGAGTTATCCACTTCTTCTGGCTGGCATCGATTGGCTGACCTTGCCACAGAGCAAAACAAGCAGGATCTTTGTCCAAGTTAAGAAGCTCGCATTTTAATGACGGTGACTGCGAGAAAAATAGGTTCTCAACATGAAGTCTTGCTCCAGAAAAGGTTTGAAAAGAATAGCCTCTATCACAGACAAAATCAGATGTCTTCCCACCATCCAGAGGAACGATGAGATCAAACTCTCTAAGAGTGAAAATAATTGAATTTATCGAGGAATCTGGCAAAACAGCACCAGGGCTGACGACAATGCCATCTGCTAAGAACGAAGAAATCCTCAAGCATGATTCTTCCTGAAGATTGATCTGAAAAGGGAAACCAAAAGCAATACCAATCATATTAAAAATTACAAACATCATTCTTCTCTATCTTATTTTCTTGCTGGATGAGGACAGTCAGAGTCAGGTTGACATACCATAAGAGGTAGGCACTCGATAAATGTTTGAGAACCAAATGATGGAGGGGCAGGCGATGGATTGGTCTGAAGAGAATGGATGCATATAAGAGGAACACCTGAAGTATATGGGGAGTATTTATCCCCAAGAGGATAAATCGGAGGACAGAAGTTTTCACCTGCATAAGCAATACGTGAAACAGGTCAGACATTAGGTGCAAAGAAATCAGCGTGTAATTTGAAGTAAGACCTACCGAATTCTGGGACATGAGTGTGCTCTTTCAGATCAGGCTGTATTGATGGCTGAATCAAGGTGCAAGGGGGATGTGAAAATGCGTCCCTGCTCGTGGGACATCATATTCAGCAACAAAGCACATGATCTAAATTAACGAAAGCAATACTAATAGTTCGCAGTAAAAGAAGATAAATAATACGAGACTAATACTCAAAGGTTCATGGAGAACAAAGCTTAATAAAAAAAAAAATGCACCACACACTTTAAGATTCATCAGAACAGATATATTTCAACAATCCAAAGAGAATAGAGAATAAACTCTTTATGGATTAACGATGTTCTGCCTCTTGTCTAATCCTTCACGATAGAGTCATAAAATTTTCTTACATTTAAAGTGATGTATAACATTCCTTCTTACTCTCGTTTATTGTGCTCCTTTTTCATGTTTAAAGACCTCCTTGATGGTCTTCTAAAAAAACTGCTTTTGCAAATTCAAAATACCAGAAATCACTTTGTACGATTTCCTAGGGTTCTAGTTGATAAATTTCATTACTTATTTTCTTTTCAATGTCATTTGAGTAACTTCATTGAATTCAGTTTACATTTGAGACTAAATTTGAGGCTTTAAAAACAACCAAGTGAAAGATAGAAAATAATAGATAAAGAAAAGTCCTTTAATGACAGAAAACTCAGCAGTACAGTCATCAAAAGAGCTTAAGAAGCATGCATGCTTTGCCATGATAACTCTACCTACATGTCACCGTACGCAAAACATCCACCAAAGAAATAAAGACGCTGGAAGAGAAATAAAAATTACCTCAGAAATAATCCTCCAATCATGATACGAGACAAATTTTTTGTATTTTCTCCATCAGAAATACTTGCCTACAAAGGAGACAAATACAATCAACCAAAGAGGCCAATGCAGTGAACAGGTGACTGATGGATCTAGAAACTATAGAGTTTGAAAATAAGACGAATGGTAAAATTTACATTAGCAACCAGAAAAATCCACTACTAGTTTCTGGACATTCTCATAAAACTGTGGCAAATAGAGGACATAATGGCATCATGATGGCAACAATCATGTGGCGAAAATATAATACAGCACAGGGTGAATGGGATAAAAATGGCAGATACAGGAATGGTACGTATCGGACAAGGATAAGAATATGCAAGTAATTTACAAAAAACACCAAAAATAAAAAAAATAAAAACACGTAAAACTAGGTAACGTTTATTTATGACGTTCGAAATGTGATACAACATTACATCCTGAAATAATATCCATTTTCACACTTTTATATTTTCGGAATATGACCTTTTACCAAACTATAGAGCACCCCAATAAATTGAAAACTTCTTTAGGGGAGGCCATATCCCATGGTCAGCAGAGTTTGTTCAGATAGCCAGATATGCCCAAAATATCTCCAATCTGGAGGAAAAGGCCAGTTCTGAGAAACGAATATTGTAATGGAAAGACATTCTTATCATACGATTTTCCAGATGTTCCTCCATTTTCGAACAGCTTAGCTAGTTTCATCAGAGTTTGAAGAGGTCTCAAGAAACCTCCATAGGGCAAAAAGCCTATAGACCAGAAAATGAACGGCAATTCTCTCCAGGCCACATTTTCCCTTTCTTTCTATGAGCTTATTTATACACCTAAATATTGTGAAGTACATAACATAAGCAGAGAACTACCTAAGCACTTCATTAAACATGATACGGCAACCTCCTAGAAAAATGGAACAAGTTAGTCACTAGATGAACATCGCTGGGTCCCGACCAAGAGTATCACTGTAGGGAAATGTACATCAGTGCTGGTCATAACTAGATAACAAGCTACTTAGACGTGATATAAGTAGGCATATGAAATTACTAATACGATTTTCAATCATTAAAGGCAAAGGTAGGCATGTTTCACTTCTTAAGGAGGCTATTTGCAACTAGTTTCACAGGATAACATCTGTGAAGTTGCAATATTTGGTAGGCAACATGAACAATATAAGCCAAATCTCCAATGGATTGAATAAGAATTTCCCTTAAGTCGATCAATAAATTGCTCAAGAAAATAAATATTTTCATTAAAAAAAAACTCCAGAAAAAAGGACGAAATCTTACCCGAGAAAAATAAAGCGATTGCATTAAAAGTTCAAGCTGAAACTCTGCAAATCAAAATAAGCAGAGTGTTAAAAATAATCTGCTACATAAAATAAAAGGATAAATTAAGGAATAAAAACAGATCACTGAAATTCGTGATCAGGGCTTCCATGTAAAAGACTGTAGTATAAAATAATAACTAACAATACTGAATATATAATCCATTTGGTCTCCACTTTTGACTAAAAGAATCCTTGCAAAGATAGTTTACCGGAATCCTTAATGCAGACAAATATATGGTCCACAATAATAGAGACAAGGGAGCGTCCAGCTGCTTCTGTGGAATTCTGTCCAGATCAGGTTTGAGGTGTCAACATAGTGAAAGCAGGTTTTTCGTTCTTCCCAAGGAAGCAGGAAATATTTTTTCCTGATGAGCAATAATACCTTTGGTTCCTTCTTGCCTATATCTCCTCTGTTTAGACAAACATAAAATCCTGTCATGAACCGAAGAAGAGCACGTAGACCTGTTGTATGACACATTTTTTAATAAATTATTGTCACAGTTCTGATGGGGGGAAAATCTCGAACCATTGTTGCTATAGATTGGGCATTGGATAGGGTGAGCACCTGGTTCACTTAAAGAAGGACAAATGGCTTCTGTGACATGCAGTTGCACTTCAAGCCCAAGGGGGTTGTTGTATTCTGTCCTCTGTACTGTGATCTACACAACAAGGAAAAAAATAAAATCTAAGGAACATATTTCTCTTAATAAATCCAAACAGTAAATGATGTCCACAGGAAACGGCCAGGAAGTGTATAGATCAACTCAAGATGATATGCAGTACATGAGCATATCCTGATATTCCTTCCAAAAACCGTTCACCCCCAAAAAATAATCGTTTTGCACCATCATTGTCTCTCTTACTTCCCCCATTGACAGGAGACATCAAATATGCATCTGAAAACATGTCAGGATGAGGCAAAATATCAACGGATAAAGATTCCCACTCCAGTTTCTGCAAAAAAAAAGAGAAGAGAAAGAGTAATTAACATATTTTCCACAATAAGAAGCCAAAAAAACCCTACTAGGATGGGTTTATCAAAGCAAAGAATGCATCATTAACTCGACTAAGAAAATAGGATCGGGATAATTGATAATCATCAGTACCTTAAAAACATAGATACACTTGTTACTGTCGGAAAATTCTCTGGCTTCCTTGAGGTTAACAACCTGTTTCCAAATGAAATAAATTGTTTAAGATGTAATTGTAGAACTGGATACTTGTGGAATTCAAGCAGACACAAAACCTGCCAATTTTCATTTGTCGTGTATAGCAGAAGGTTGCGCATTGTGATAGAAGCAATAGGTGATATCCTGGAAAAGAAAAAAGGAAATCAAAAGGCCTGCATAATAGAAAGCTTGATTTGAAATACAGAAAGGCACCCAAAAATAATGGCTTGACTACTCCATTAGGCGAGGGCAAAACATAAATCATGATCTTCATGAGGATTATGCTGATGAACATTTAACTTACAGATACCTAGTCATAGATCCCCACGACAATATAATGAAATTCAAGATGCGGATGATGGCTACAGAATATGGATCTGTAAGTATCTGCTATCATCAAACTTTCAAATGGCCATGTGGATTTTGGTTATGCACCAGTGTCCACTAATCAATCAAGAAGTCATATTCTTCACTGATTTCAATAAGCATGTTGTATTCATATCATGAGCCCTTTGCCAAGCTACAGATCCCACTGGAAAAAGGCATTCAATAGTCGTTTAAAATCTAAAGGTATCAGAAATGCCCGAATATGTGCATTTTCCAGGTACAATTCTCTCCTAGGCGTCCTTTTTTTTTTAGTATGAACCATTAAGGACACCAATGAATACAGCCAGCAATTTTCTATTTAACACCCACTCAATCTCTTCAGAATAACACGGAATTTGATACAACAGTAGATTGGCATGGAAAGTCTGCAACTAAAATAGCCTACATGTCAATAACATCATTACAAATTGCCTTCCTGATGGGAATTTAGGATCCACAAAAGTGCGACATGCATGGACAATCATCAACGGTCCATATCTAACCATAAACATCCCCTGAAATAATAAAACTAAGCCAGAAATGATGAAAAAAAAAAGCATAAAAATGAATGAGCGGGGTGAATGTACCATGTTGCACCCACTTGTTGCCGAGCACCACCACGTGTCTCAACCAAAAGATTCACGGTGCCCACTTCTAAAGTCATTCCATCTGCAATCTAAGTGGAGCACAAGCGTCAAAAATCTAAAAGCCATTTTAGTAAATAAACAGAGGCTTAAATGGCTTTTCACTTCCACTTCGAAAGATCCATAATTAGCAGACAAAAAATTGGCGTCAAATAAAGTTAGACATTGTAATTTAAGGATGCCACTGCATCGATATCAAGAGATACCTTATCAGCAAACCCATAGCCACCACCTTTCCCGGAGTTGTTCGATGCATGAACACTGTTTTAAGCTTCCAGTTAAATGATATCACAAAAAAAAAAAATGCACTCAATGAACCAAAGTCAGAAATTTTACCTTGTAGGACTTATGGAATCACTGGGATCGGGATTCTCCTCGAGGACGAGGTCAAGTCGATCGATCTGAACAATGATTGGCTCCATTTGCACACTGGATACCGATGGCAGCTGAAAAGACACATCATATTCCATTTACGATCGCGATATCAGAAACCACATTGCTCTCCTTTTGGAAGACACTGTGACCAGAAAAACCAAAAAGATCCCAGATTACCGTGATTTCTAGTTTTCCAACTTTCGCCTTGGTGACATGCAGAGCCGGCGGCAACCCCACGCTTGCATGCAGGACTTCCCCATTTATATCTACGCTCGAAACCGGCACACGTAAACCTCAGAATTGAACAAAATTCATGCGGCCTTCATCCAATTACCCGAGAGGAGCAGCGCCCTCTTGCCTACCAAGATTGGAGAGCTGCGCGGTGCGTCCCTGGAGCTTGAACTGGTCCCTGGAGAACGACTTGAGCCAGTACTTGAGCGTATACTCCAGGGCCCTCGCCAGTATCGACTCCATCCCGCACTCCGGCGCGCCAACCCCCCCAGATCCCGTAGCAGTGCTCCCCGCCCAGATCGACGCAGTAAGATGCGACGGCCGACAAGGGGCCCAGCAGAGGGAAGCAGAGGAGTGTTAGGAGAGATAGAGAGAGAGAGAGGGATGAGCAAGAGAGAGAGAGAGAGAGAGAGAGAGAGAGGGGGGGAGGGGAAACCCCCTCGTTCATCTTCTTCCTTCCCCTCGGCTCGCTTTCCTCCTCCATGTACCCCGAGCCGGCGGCGATCGAATCTGGTGCCCGCACGTGCGAGGGGTACGCACGTGATCCACACGTGCATACAAGCGCGCGCGAATCTAAGTATTAGAAGAATTTAAGTGGGCTTTTTTATATGGCCCATGAAAGTAGAGCAGTTGGACAACCAATTGGATCGTGCCACGTCGCAGCGCCTTGCCCTTCCCACAACAACGGGGGAATGTCTCGATATGACGTCATCACCCGGGATGTGGAGTAAATGGGTGACGTCATTATATATAATACGAAGTAAATATTCCAGAACACTTCTTAAAAATAAGTTTTTAGTGAGTTTTTTCTTATTATAATGAGAAATATGTGAACCCAAAGCACATATTTCTATTTATTTATATATATATAATGAAAAACTTACTCTAAGTGGTAATTAATTATCACTTACCACCTTTGGACAGGTGCGCAATAAAATCCTCATCCATTTTTATTTTTTTGGGAATTTATTTTTCCACCGTAAATTATTGATTTTCCAACTTTATATTGAACAAAAAATATCTTTTTTCTATTTCAATAAATTTGCAAAATTGAAATGTTCATTTAATAATGAATTTTGGCTTTCCCTTCTGGTTTTTTAAGAGACCGGGTCCGGCCTTGAAGAGGACATCCGGGCCCGGTGCGGAAGGCCCGAAGTCACATTCTTACTCTTCTATTTATATTCGTAATCAGATATGTTCATTTGTTAAATATGTTCAGTGTAAACGGGCTGGGCCCCAAGAGCTCATGTCATCAACCCGGCCCGTCGTAACTCTTCATGCCGCGTGGAGGATTCCAGTTGTCTCCGATCTCGGGCTCTCTTAGCTCACTGGGGGGTCCACTTCGGACGTTTGACAGCCTCTAAGTGGGTTGATGACGCCATAGAAGTCCACGTCGGAAAAGACACGTCATTTCGATTTAACTGATAGAAAATACTCCACTTGGTGGGCTCTTTCGACCCATCGCCGACCATCCACCGAATACCTACGTGTACAGATGACGCCATCATGAGCCCACGTCGGAAATTACACGTAAGTTCGATATAACCAATAGGAAACCAGCTCAGGGCGGTGGTTATTGGCGACCGGTCACCTCCTCTGGTTCGCCCGGGAGAACCGCCCACCCCGAATCCCCTCCCCTTTCAAAGGATTGGAAAAGCGAGGGCTTCTCCGTGTATCTCCAGCAGATCTCTCTCTCTCTGTCTCTCTACCTCTCTCCTACCTCTCTCTCTCTCTCTCTCTCTCTCTATACCTCTCTTTAACACCGGGGTTGGCGACGCCATGACGGAGGAACCGGTGGCGGCGCCGGGGGCCTCCCAGGCGGCGTCGGCGGACCCCGTCGGGCATTCCGTGATCCCGATCGTGAACAAGCTGCAGGACATCTTCTCCCAGCTCGGGAGCTCCTCGACGATCGACCTGCCGCAGGTAATCGTGGTTGGCAGCCAGAGTAGCGGCAAGTCCAGTGTCCTGGAAGCCCTGGTGGGGCGAGACTTCCTCCCCAGGGGTTCCGACATATGCACAAGGAGGCCGCTGGTGCTGCAGCTTGTGCACAGTCCCCGGAAAACCGATGGGACTGGCGAAGGGGATGAGTGGGGCGAGTTCTTGCATATTCCAGGAAGGAGGTTCTATGATTTCTCTGCTATCCGTAGGGAGATCCAGGTAACGGCTGTTTCCTTCGGTCTGTCTGTAGGGATTTCATCTTTACTGATGTTGCCTCGACTTCCTCGGTTGGTTGCCTCTCTTCATACTGCGACCTCTGTAGGTTAGGAATGGGTCTGCACATGCTTGAACAAGTAGACTTTCTTTTGCTTTCATTTTTTTTGATGCGTTGTTTGTTTTCACCAATATATTTCAGTCTTAATCCGCAATTGTGCGAATGGATCATTGGTGTCGACTATATTTAATTGCCTTGATTCATTTTGAATGAATGAGACAGTTTTAATCTCAAAAGATATGTAGAGAAAGTTTCCATGCACCAAATGCAACTTAGTAGCGAAAGTTCCAAAGAGGTTGTACTCGTTTGTATTGAACTGTTAGGAAATTTGAGGAGTTTGGGGAAAAATTCCTTTTTGACCCTTTTAGAACTTAGTTGTTACAATACCTCTGCCAAAGTAATAATAATAAGGAAAACAAACTTTTGTTCAGTTATTTGTAAAACCCAGTGGGAGGTTTCTCTTTATTTCAATGATAATTTTAGAGTTTGATTTGATGATGGTATGCTAGTTGTAAATATCGATTTTGATGCTGTGGTGCAAGACCTGTTTCCTTTGAGGCAGTCGTACAAGAACGATTTTCTCCAGCTCCAATTAGGTTCTTTATTTGGTACATTTGTGTGTAAGCTGTTTTTCTAACTAGGATAGTATTTCTGGGGGTGGGAAGAATATTTTTGTACCTTGTAAACAATCTCCATATTTTCATCCTCACAAAGAAGTATCATCCTCACAAAAGATAGTATCAAGGTGAAAGGTCAAGTTAGGCTAACAGCTTTGGAAGGATTTTTATATTCAGTGAATCAGCAATGAAACATTGAAAGCTTTATTCTACCAGGATAATACTGCTTAGTCTCTAGTTTTCCTTCCTCATAAAAATGGGATGATACTTTATTGAGAAAAACAAATAAGGGACTTGTATATTTTATCTGTTTGATGGGCTTCTTGATAAGTCATGTATGACATCCTTGCCATTTTCATGGTCAATTCACCATACATTGATGCTTGTCATAAGTTTGCTGTTGTTAATTTTCAGGCTGAAACAGACAGGGAAGCAGGTGGCAACAAGGGAGTTTCTGATGAACGAATACGCTTGAAGATTTTCTCACCAAATGTTCTTAACATCACATTGGTGGATTTGCCTGGAATAACAAAGGTACCAGTTGGTGATCAGCCAAGTGATATTGAGGCACGAATTAGAACAATGATCTTGTCCTATATCAAACATGAAACGTCCATAATTTTAGCTGTAACACCAGCAAATTCAGATTTGGCAAATTCAGATGCTTTGCAGATGGCAAGGATAGCGGATCCAGATGGTAAAATTTCAATTTTTTTTGTACAAGTTTAAAGTACAAGTTTGGTTATAATCCTAATAGTGTCTTCTGATATTATGACAGGTTCTCGAACAATTGGTGTTATCACAAAGGTTCCACATGCATATTAATTTCCTTTTGTTGTCATTTCTTATTTTGTTTGAAGAGCACGCTCCTTGACATGCTATTTGACTGTATTTCAGTTGGATATTATGGATAGGGGCACTGATGCCCGTAACTTTCTTCTGGGGAATGTAATTCCTCTTAGACTCGGTTATGTGGGCGTGGTGAATCGAAGCCAGGAGGTACACATTTTGATCATCATTTCATGACTTGATTGCATTATTTTATGTTGCTCTCTTTCCATGAAAGAGTATGATGTCAGGTAAGTTGATGCTTACCGTAGCATGTTCATTTGCATTATTCTTGTTATGGCCTCGTATCTCTTCTGCTTATTTTTCCTTTTTCTTATGTTTCATTTCTGATTATACAACCCACTCTATCTGAGTTAATTTAAATACATTTGGGACCAGGAGTGAAACTTGAGTTGTCATCTCCAATATAGTTTTTGAGTTTCTCGGCTAGATCACATTGTGAGACTGCTAAGGTTTGAAAATGATCCTTGGATGCTGCAGAGTAGCTAGCCATGCAGCAGGTTATTGTGAGACAGCAATTTATATTAGCTGTGAGTTTGTACTAGTTCGTTTAGTGAAGTGGGTGACGTGCGCTGGTGGGAAATGGTAAAATTCTCCTTTTTTCTCCTTTTTGAAGACAAGGGAATAAGAATATTGTCACTAAGCAAGAAGGAGATATGCCTTGGATGTCTGTGCACCTTTCTCCCCTATTTTACGAGCATGTTCGATTGTCATTGTCATCGTTTCTATTATTCATTTCTTGATTCACTTCAAGTTGCGTCCTTAAGTTACTACCCAATGTAGTAATCTGACATATACTCTGTTTTATGATTTGGAATATCTCTTAAAAGTTTCTTTACGTGAAATACATACGAGTTTAAATGTCCGCTTTTAGATTTGAGTTTCTGATTTATATTTTATTGTGGAATGAAAACGTGTTTACAGCTCAAGAACTTTTTATTGATTATAATGGACATAATTTAAGTCTTTGTTTGCCCACTCCCTATCCTCTGTTCCCCACGTCTATTAATACCTTATGGTCAAGCTCCTTCATGATCAACCAGGTTTTAAGAGAGTCTAGGATTTCAGTTCAACTCCTTGTCTCTCTTCTGAACGTTCTTTTGGGTTCTAAGGTTCAAGAAAAAATATAGTTTACAATATTTATTGATTAGCTAGTGTGAATTTACATAACGCAGTTTCGAATGCTGGAATTGATCGCTTATTAATGGCTGATGGTATTTGTTAGGCCCCATTTTGTTGGGGCTGATAACAGGCCCATTATCAGGGCGACTTATGTCAGGAAAGGGGAAGGCTAAGACATAGCGGGTGATGGGTTCAATATGAGGGAGGATATAAGGACCCTCAGGCACCCTTAATGGGGGGGCACTTTTTGAAGAAGTCAGTGGGAGAGTGGGGCGCTCTCAAACTTGTCGCCAACTGTTTCAGGGTTTTCTCAGGAAACTCTTTTTGCTCTGCTCTTTCCTGTTGTCCGTCTCAGTGGAGTTATTTTTCCCTGTTCCTTTCAGTTATGTTTCCTGGTTGCTACCCTAGCTTCTACCCTTGTTTTGGTTCCTGTTCTTGGATCATATCAGTTTCTGTTCCGTTTCCCATGTTATGTATTAGCTTATGCAGAGATCCACAAACTGAGATCTGCTATATTGTTTCGTCCATTTCTCATCTGCAACAGGATATTACGCTCAACAGGAGCATTAAAGATGCACTAGCCTATGAAGAGAACTTCTTCTGTAATCGTCCGGTAACAATTATTTCCAGATTTGGTTTCTTATCGTGCATCTTTTCTGTCATTCTGTTGATCTTGTTTTGATTCCAAATACAGGTCTATCATGGGCTCTCTGACCGCTGTGGTGTTCCTCAGTTGGCAAAGAAATTGAATCAGGTTTGGTTCATTAATTTTCCATAAAAGTCAATTTCTGATCTTTTGCTATGTCTACTTTGTGCTAATGTAAACATATCCTTGGACATAATGATAACTCGAAAATCACTCTCCATTCGCGCTGTAAATGGCTTGCTTTTACTTTGATTAATAATTCTCTTCTATTGCCTTCTACAAATCTGGCTGGCTCCTAATGACTTTAAATATCTGTATTAGATTCTTGTACGGCACATCAGAGCTGTTCTCCCAGGTTTGAAGGCCCGAATAAGTGCTCAGTTAGTGTCTGTAGCAAAAGAACATGCCACCTATGGTGAAATCACAGAATCCAAGGTATAAAACACTACCATTATCAGTTTATTTCCATGTCTCTTGCCGATCAAAGTTTAAAACTTTTTAACTTTTCTGGCCAAGCCTTTTTTCTCTTTCAATCAGCTTGATCACCGATTCTCATTTTCACTTCATTCCTGAATACTAGCGATGATATTGGTTTTAACCCTTTGTTATTTTGTTCTTCCTGAAGTCTGGACAAGGTGCACTGCTCCTGAACATTCTTGCAAAATATTGTGATGGTATCTTTCTGCACCAACTTTTTCCTTCCTTTTTTGCGTTATTTTTGTAAAACATTAATTTTCGTGAATGATTTCCGAGCCCCTTTTTACTTTATTCTAATATCTATTTAAGAAAGTATAATATTTCTAAAGTTGTAGTTAAAGAAATATGTTGGATTTATTAAGCTTAGTTCTTGAGATGTTTATGTATTTTCTTACTGATAATATATGTTCGTTATTCTCATCTTAGTTATTTGCATTTTGGTTCGGTTAGAGCCTCACGAATGAACATTGGATGAAACAAACCTCTGAATAGAATGTATAAACGATAAATATCCTACTGAGATCATTTTGAAGTCTATATCATAAGAAGGTTCGATCTAGTAAATTGCAACTATTCATTCAATTTATAACTAACTGGAACTGGTGGATCCATCCAGCATAGAAACAGACCATCTCAGAATCCATAAAGCGGTGTGAATGAAGGGTACCGTAGTTTATCGTCCGCTTTAGTCCATTTTGTTTTAACAGTTACTGTCATTCCTCAGTTTGCCCAGCAGGATGTTGAGAGCCGCTTTGTTGTGTGAAAAATTCCCATTGTAGGTTCCTCTCCTTGAGCCCTCGTCTGTTTCAAATACGTAACTATAGATTTTTGATGGATCAATAAAATTCTTTTACTTGATGATGTCAAATTTCACAAAACTTGAAAAGCGCAAAAACTTTGTTAAAAAAAAAAAGTTGGCATCAAGAAGAAAAAATGTCTGCTCCACAACTGACTACTGTCTAGCCCTGATCTGTTTGCCTGGATAATAATGTTGGGTACTTGTAAAGATGGGTCAATCATCTGAATTTTTTAGGATTTTATTTATTCACTGTCTTCTTTTGGTGGAACTGAGTTTCTTGTAAAGTTGCCGATTTTTTAGTCGTGTCATTCTTTTTGTAGACCTAAATTATGAAATTATTAGTCTAATATATGCAGAGCATTGAACTTTGGTTTGTCCGTCATGCATACTCTGTGTGAAGCATTGGTTTATCAGCCAAGGCATTTCCGAGTGGTACATGCCATATATTAAGAATGAATTTCCTTTGTGTGAAGCATTGGTTTAGCTGGATGAATTTCCTTTTTTTCTGTTCTTATGTCTTCAGAATCGGCAATGGTATAAAACCTCTGCTATGCTATTTGTTGCAGCATTTTCTTCTTTGGTGGAAGGAAAGAATGAAGAGATGTCAACCACTGAGCTGTCTGGTGGAGCAAGGATTCATTATATTTTCCAATCTATTTTTGTGAAGAGTTTGGAGGTGCATACAATGCCAGATACTCAAGTGCTCTAGTATAAACATATCATTTTATTACATTTTGTTATTAAACTGCTGTCTGTTATGAAATCACATCGTTGGGGGTTTTCTTCTTTAGTTTTATCTTATCCTGTAGTCATGAGATAGGGTAAATTTTGCTAACATATCCATCCTGTGACTGTTATCATAATACCATTGTTTATCTCTTCACACAGTTTTTTCTTTTCTTCTATATTTAAAACGATACCTTTGGGGACAGGAAGTCGATCCTTGTGATGACCTGACAGATGAGGACGTCCGTACTGCCATTCAGAATGCTACTGGTCCAAAGAGTGCTCTGTTTGTGCCAGAGGCGAGTGTAAATTTTATACACATTTCTCTTTTGGAACTGATCATTGAATATTTTTCATTTGTTGCTATTGATTATGAGTATTTACTACAACTGTTTGGATACTCTCATTAGGTTCCGTTTGAAGTTCTTGTTCGTAGGCAAATATCTCGATTATTAGACCCAAGCCTTCAGTGTGCAAGGTTCATATATGATGAATTAATCAAGGTGAACCCTCATCTGCATAGTGATGTTTGTTTTTTTTTCTTTTTTCAATTACTGCCCTGGGTTGATTCTAACATTATTTTCTAATTCAGATGAGCCATCGCTGCCTAGCCAATGAGCTTCAGAGGTTTCCCATTCTTAGGAAATGCATGGACGAAGTTATTGGAAATTTCCTACGTGAGGGCCTTGAGCCAGCAGAGACAATGATAGGTCATATCATTGAGATGGAGGTATGCTGATTATTGGTCATCAAAGGATATTGAGTCCAGTGAAAGTATTGAATTTATTATTTTCTCTTATTTATCATCCTACATGCGTGGAATCTTAAGGATCTAAATTATCGCCATACATACTTCCTCTGTTCTGTTATATTATTTTCATTAATTTCTCTTAACGATGTCTTCCACAGCTAATTTGATTAAAGGGTCTTGCAGATGGATTACATAAACACTTCCCACCCAAGTTTTATCGGTGGTAGCAAGGCTTTGGAGGTGGCATCTCAGCAGATCAAAACTTCTAAGATAACAGCACCATTACCCAGACCGAAGGTTATTAATCTCCTCTTTCTATGCCCTAAATATAGTCAAAACTCCACTCTTTTTAAAAATAACATACACATATGGAGGCACTTTGAGAACCCCATTTTTTTTATTTATGTTGGTTTAATGGGTGATAATCTTATGGTTCAGGTTATCTGGCGTAATCTCACAATCTATAGAAGTTTCTAGCGCCTGCATTAGAAAAATTACTGACCTTGGTAGTACATTATACCCTCCAGGATTCAGTGGACTCAGATAAACTTCAAGCATCAGAAAGGAGTGTGAAAACCCGGGGCATTCTCGGCAGATCCGGGGCCAACGGAATCGTTACCGATCAGGTTGTAAACTGCCATTATTGCATACGATTGGAGATCTCGATGTTTCTCTTAGTGGCTCTATCTAATCTGTATTATTGATTTTTATTTTATCTGGTTGATGGACAGGGAGTTCGACCCATTGTGGATGGTGAGAGACCTGGCTCATCTGGTAAGTACACTTACGTTGATGAGGAACAGGTTAAAAACCAAGGTACTTGAGGAATAATTAAAGGAAAAAAAAAAAGAGATGGAGAGACAAACTCGGAATGAGATGAAGAATATATCACAGCAAAAAGAAACTTAGATCTGTCTGTCACAAATAAATAGAATAATCCAGATCCCAAATGAATAAATTTAAAGCTAATAAATATATGTCACATTAATTACATGATTTTACTTATTTTTTCTAATGTGGGGCTATCCTGATTCTCTCTTGACAATTTATTGCATGATCCCTTAATGAAACATTTCTTGACTAGTTTTGGGTAAATTCACTTGCATCATTTCATAATAATCGAAAACATTTGACCCTAAGATTTGCTGAATTAGGAAGCACTTCTGGGACTAGCTGGGGCATCTCATCAATCTTTGGGGGTGAAAGTCGTTCATATGTGAAGGAAACTGTAGCCAGCAGACCCCACAATGAGCCCCCCCACAGTCTAGAGCATTCTCTTTCTATGATCCAGTTGAAAGAGGTAAGATCTTGGTGAAAATACATCACGTGGACATTTGATTATTGTGGCATTTGACTTTTGAGCCTCCGTGGCAGCCTCCAGTGGTCTTGAAGCCCTCGGAAAGCCACACAGATCAGGAGGCTGTAGAAATAACGGTCACAAAGTTACTGCTGCGGTCATATTATGACATTGTGAGGAAGAATATTGAAGATTCTGTGCCTAAGGCAATTATGCACTTCTTGGTGAGAAATTATGTTCCATTTTTGAACTGTTCTTGGGTGAAACTATATATATATTTATCTTATTGAATGTTTGGATAGTTTCAAGTTTTTTCAAATTGTTCTAGCACATATGGCAAAGAATAATTGATTCATCAGCTCAAATACTTCTCCCCGTCTTTCCCAGGTCAACCATACAAAGCGTGAGCTGCACAATGTCTTCATCAGGAAACTCTACAGGTACTTGAGAAAGGAGAATTGCTCTCACTCTAGTGCCGTTTTTGATTGGGATGTGTGGTAGCCGATCTGATTCAGGATGGTCAAGTGGTGCATTCTGATCTGTATGTCTCGCTGAATGGTGTCAATTGGGTTGAGAAGCAGCTAGTTTGACTAGCCCAATCCTTTCTGTATTGAGGCGATCTGACCGCCTGACTAGATCGGCCAGTTTTGGAATGGACTTGGCCCCTAAAGTGGTGTGGTTTGATGAACAGGGAGAACCTCTTTGAAGAGATGCTGAGGGAGCCAGATGACATATCTGCCAAGAGGAAGCGGACTCGTGAGACTCTCCGTGTCTTGCAACAGGCCTTCCGGGTGAGTATTTTAATGAAGATCATTGGTTACCGGAGCGGTTTTTTCCCCTAATTATACCTGTGACTACATCCAAGAGGCTCACTGGTAAGCCAAAATCTTGATCACCTATCTGACGAACCATCTCTCCCTCCTTCCTTCCCGCTCTCCCTCTGTCTCTCTGTCTCTGTCTCTGTCTCTTTCTGTCTGTCTCTCTCTGTCTCTCTTTCTGTCTCTTTCTGTCTGTCTCTCTCCCCCTCCCTCTCCCTCTCTCTCTCTCTCTCTCTCTCTCTCTCTCTCTCTCTCTAAGCTCCAAGGATCTTTCTACGTTTTCTATCAAAATTTACTTTAGAATATTGAATTCCCTTGGTGTTTTCCCTCCAAATTATGACTGAACCTTCTTCCAATATTGTCGAAGGTAACCCAAAATCCTGAACACCCAGGTGGCATCCTCTCTATTCTCTCTCTCTTGCTCTGAGATTGGTGCATATTTCTGACTGCTCTGTGTCTGACTTCCATCGGCTGTTTTTTCTATCAAAGTGGCTATTTGAAGAACACCCAAAACATGCCACTGACGGCATCCTCTCTCTCTCTCTCTCTCTCTCCCTCTCTCTCCCTCTCTCTCTTAGTTTGGTTTGTATTTGGGGGGTGGGCTGAGCTTACCATTCGCCATAGAGACCCTAAAGTAGTCCATAGTTTTACTTATTATGTATTCACCAAGTATCTTTCTCTTGATGTTCATCAGACACTGGACGAGCTACCCCTTGAAGCAGAGACCATCGCCAAGGGCTACACCCTGAGCTCCGACTCGACTGGCCTGCCGAAGATCAACCGGGTCCCATCCTCGTACTATCCCCCCAGTGACTTCAGCACATCTTCGTACATGGGTTCCCCCAAGAACCCTAGATCCAGGAAGTCCTCACACTCGGGAGAGCAGCCCTCCCCTCTCCACCCATCCTCCGATGCCAATGGGGTCATCTCCCACCACTCTGGGCTCAGCTCCTACCCACCTCTAGATCTCTAAGCTCTCTGGGAGCTGATTTTTTTTTTTTTTTCCCCCTGTTGCTGCTATCGAGCATTAATACTTGGAAAAGAAAAAAAAGGGTGTGAGATTGATTTTCTTCTTCTTCTTCATCATCATCATCACTATGATTTCTCTGGCAAACCAGGTGAGTAAACTGGTTCTTGGCTGCTGTATATTACTAATTATGGAAGAGAACCCATCTGCTGTATATTACTTATGGTCTTCTACTTGATGGATGGAATGAAGCTGAGGTCTACCTGGTTGGTGGGTGGGCCTAAAAGTGTGGGGCTTTTTTTCTATCCCCGTTTGTGGATGAAAAGAAAATCAGCATGAACCAGCGTTGACCTAATGAGGGAGCTCCTTTTCTTATCTAAATGCGGTTAAAGGGAGGTAGATCAGCATCTGTGTAGGTTATCGTAATCATCATTTCTCTGGCAAATCAGGTGAGTAAAATGGTTATTGGCTGCTGTATATTACTAATTATGAAAGAGGATCCACCTGCTGTACATTACTTGATGGATGGAATGAAGTTGAGGTCAACCTGGTCGGTGGGTGGGCCCAAAAATGTGGCCTTTTTTTCTATCCCCGTTTGCGGATAAAAAGAAAATCATCATGAACCAGCGTTGACCTAATGACGAGCTACTTTTTTTTTCAAAATGCGGTTGAAAAGAGGTAGATCAGCATGTAGGTAGGCCATTTAAATTGAGATACTCGGATTATTCTGTTGCTTAGCATGAAGGTGTCACTTCCTTTAGTCAACGGATTCTTGTTTTGGGTAAATGAAACCTCAATGCTAGTATACATCTGGCCAGTGGTTATGATGCAGCTGGATGGGTATGTGCGTGGGTGTGCGACATAGGCCAACATGATACAATTGTCATTGGTTGTGTGGAAGTGTCTAATGGTGTCTGCTTGCATGGTTGTACATGGCATAGGATGGGGTGATGTTGATGCATGACAAGTGCCTAGCACATTGAGAGTGTGGCACCAAGAGATGTGAACACGAGGAACGCCAACATGGATGAGCACGTGGAGCATCAGTTGGGGGGTGCTAGTAGTGTTAAGTAGCATTTTGATAATTGTAAATGCACATAAAAAGATAAATTGATCGAATTATGCTACTCATTCAATGTATATGAAATATATATGAATATCTTTTTAAACATGAGCATTAAATTAGCTCAATTGAAATTTATAAATAATTACTAATAATAATGTACAATATCCAAATGAAAATTCAAGAAGTGTGTTTGAGTCTAATGATTCTGAATTTCAGAATTTAGTTGTTTTTTTACTAATTGAAATTATGACATTCTTCATTATTATGAAAATTTAAACATTTATATAAAATGGTATTAATGAAAAGTAATGATTTACACATCCCATTATTTAGAGTTATTATAGTAAACATGTATTAAAGCTAAATAGATTAGATTCTTAATTTTAAATAATCAATTGAATATGAATTATTCCCAGAGCTAATCAAATATTTTTTAACACTGATGAATATTATTGGAAAAATGATTTCAAAGTATCATAAGTTGCCAAAAATAAATATTAAAACCATAGTTTTAATAATTCTATTTTATTTTTATTATTTATTTGAAATTATTTATATGAAATTTGAAAAAAATAATTACTTGATTTTGTGATATATTCTCTATTTTGTTCTAACGATAATAAATTCTTACCATACCCATTTGAATCAATAAATTTGAAATGCATACATTAGTGCTTAACAATCATGTGTACTGTTTTTTCATATAGGAGATCCCTACTTAGAGGATATACCTTCTTAATTTCGATCTTTATGTCTCATGACTAATTTTACGATTTTAAAATTGAGACATTGTGGAAAATATGACAAGTTTTCATATAAAATTTCTCTTTAAATTTAATCTATTTCTATTAGTTAATTATTTTATGATGCTAACCTCTCTACCTTTTTGAGTTTTTACTAATATTTTTTTTTCAGAGAAATATATAAAAAATTGAACAAAATTTGTTGCTTTATCAATTGATGTGAAGACAACAAGTTGAACAAGATTCAATTGAAACAAGATCTTCCTCAATTTATCAAAGTGCTAACATCTCCCACATTCAAATAACTTTCCAAAGTGAAGAGGAGAAAGAAAATCAAGTTAAATGCAACATCCTCTTCAACAAATTTCTACATACACCTCAAGTAAATGCTCACAATCAGAAAATATCATACAATCAAATTCTTAATTCTTTGTGTGAGAAAAAAAGTTATGAGTCAATCTTCATTTTATCACTTAAGGAAACAAATCTCTATAATTAAAAATAGTTTTCTTAGAACCATAAATCTAAAAGACAATTTTATAGTGAAATTGTATAGGAGTTCAATCTAGTAATCAACGATTATGTTGCTAAATGATTGGTTTAGTGGAACTAAAAAATGTGACATTTTTTTAATATTAAATGTAGTTAGGGTACCAGACTACTATAAAAATCATAAAGTGCTACTAGATTTAGAGTCACAAAAATCATCAATAAATTATCAATAGTTGACCAAAGCAAATATATAATCTTATCAATTCAATTTTGACTTTTGATTTAAGTGGTATTTAAAATCAAGCAAGTAGAAGTGTCATGTGAAACACTAATGGGCACAAACATGAACTCCAAAACAATATACAACAGATGGACCAACTCTTTGAAGGTAAAGTGCCTTGTGACACCTCATCTACTCCACTCTTGCTATAAATAGAAGGGCCACCATGTAGGATCCAAGACAACAAGTGATAGATGGTTTGAGCTGTTATAGAACTTTCTACTTCCGTGAAGTCCCTGCAGAGATAGAGGTGGCTTGACATTGAGGAGAATTCTAAGGTCGCAGATGGATGAACATTGTCCATACTAACCATGTGGCAGAAAGTAGTCTAGGGAAGCAGCCAATGATCTAGAACCTGAATTTTAGTCAACTTGACTGGCTTGATTGGCTTGCCCTTTCTCTTCTCTGTGTGCCAGGCTAAACCGGGTTGGTGGGTGGGTGGTTGGACCAAACTGTTGGCTTTTTTTCTAACCACGGTAGACCAAATATTAAACTCATTGAGTGAGGTCATTTTCCTTCTATAAACATAGAAAATAGAACGAGGGAGTCAGGTCAACGCGTGGGTAGCTTATTTACATGAAGATACCTAAACTATTGGCGGGCCAAGTTCTGTCGCTCAATGGAAGGGCAACGACACGCATGCATCGCCATTAAGAAACGAGCCCATCATGTTGAATTTTAATTTAAGTCAACTTTATGCTATCTGGGTCAATTACTGAAACCGCATGGCAGTCAGCTCAAAGTCAACGGGAGCCGTATGGGCCACGGGAAGGACTAGTTTCCAATGCGGACTATGTCAAACAGTACGACAATTAATATTAAAAGTAGAAATGTCGCGTCGTGGATGGGTCTACGTCTCTGTCCAAGGATCTGTGTCCTCTCCATTTAATCATGCACCTTTACTTTTCTTCCCACCTCTCCCTTCTCCGGCGGAGCACGGCGGGGCCGCCCATGGCTTCCCTACTCATATGCTTTCTCACTCTGATGATGGGTTCTCTCTTCCTCGTCTCCGCAGCCGACGATCCCATCTTCTGCAAATGCAGCAAGGAGAGAAACTACACAAGCAACAGCACCTACCAGGCCAACCTCGGTCGTCTCATCTCCCCCCTCTCTTCATCGGCCCCTGCCACCGGCTTCGCCAACGATACTGCCGGCGAGGTCCCCGACAGGGTTTATGGCCTTGCGATATGCCGAGGGGACGTTGACGCAACCAGATGCCAGGACTGCCTCGCCGGCTGTCCCCAGGGATGCCGCAGCGGGATGCCCCAGAAATAAGGGCGCCACCATCTTCTATTAGCCGGTGGGGATTCGTGACATTTTGGTCGAAGAAAGGTACGCTGGTCTGAAAGGGTGAAAGGGAGTTAGGTGGTCGTCGGCCGGGCGTGGGGAAAGGAGTGGTCGTACACACGCGAGAGAGATATTGAAAAAGCAATCTTGTATTATTTCACTCTCTCAATTTACTCATTTACCAGGCCTTTCTTCCCGTCTCTCTCTTCTCCGGCAGAGCACGGCGGTGCTACCCATGGCTTCCCTCCTGTGCTCTCTCATCCTATTGATGGGCTCTCTCTTCCTCAGCTCCGCAGCCGAAGCTCCCATGTACAGTCTGTGCAACAGGGAGAGAAACTACACCGACAACAGCACCTACCAGGCTAACCTCGCTAGCCTCATCTCTTCCCTCTCTTCGTCCGCACCTGCCACCGGCTTCGCCAACGGCACAGCCGGCGAGGTTCCCGACAGGGTTTATGGCCTCGCGATATGCCGAGGGGACGTCGATGCCAACAAGTGCCGGGATTGCCTCTCCAGAGTCATCCAGGATGCCGCAGCGGGATGTCCTAGAAACAAGGGCGCCACCATCTTCTACCAGTTGTGCCATCTTCGTTACTCCGACCAGTACTTCTTCGGCTCGTCCACAGGGATGGAATTGTCCACGATTGTACTGAAAAACGTCTCGGACGTGCCCACCTTCAACCGCCTCCTTGGGGGGCTCCTTAACAACCTGACCATACGCGCGACCTTGTCGGAGAGGAGATTCGCCGCCGCGTCGGTGGACTTCACCAACTTCGAGAAGATATACGCTTATGTCCAGTGCACCAAAGATTTAGCGCCGGACAGCTGCAATGATTGTCTGCGAAATGAGATCAGCGCTATTCCCCAGTGCTGTAACGCGAGCAACGGAGCGAGAGTGTTCGGCGGGAGCTGTGACATCCGGTACGGTGTGGATCCCTTCTATAATGCCGCCGCCGCCGCCGACCCGCCGCCGCCTCCTTCCCCTCCGGTACCGGCTAATACTTCTCCGCCGCCCGCCGGGACTCCCGCCGAAGGAGGTAAAGGCTAAGTTTGTTGCCATGTTTCTTCGTCTTTGTCCCATTTCCTTATCTAGGAATTTGAAAGAAACTTGCGAAGAAACTTCTAAGAGTATTGACTTGGATATGAATTCTGCTGGAGGTTCTCAGGTGCCTCATTAACTCTATTTTACTACTATATTTCGTTTCTCATTAACTAGTTAACATTCTCCTTCTCTTTTGGTGGTCGTGAGGGGTGGGTGTTTATACTTTTCAGACCACATTAAATTCGTGGCAACTTTATTTCAGCGATTTATCCTTCTCTTTGTCATTTACTACGAAAATGGATGTTCTCTACTTGTGCTCCCTTCTTCTGCTGCAATATCATGCCACACTGTGGGCTCATCAGGTCCTAATAATCTGGTCTCCTTCCTAACAACATCCATATGACGGGCTCTGTTTGATCTTTTTCTTTATTTTCACATCCTAATTCCTATTTTTTGATTTTTTTACAGTACCCACACGACTTCATTTGCAGTGGAGTACAAAAAAATTCGTTGAAGTGAATCATGATTTGTCCATTCTTTCTTTCTCAGATAAAAAGAGCAACACTGTGACGCTAGTTGTGGCAATTGCTGCTGCACTCGTTGTTTCTTTTGCATTTCTGGCTACGATATGGGTTTGTATACGGAGGAAAAGACGAAATGAACTAATTGGTAAGTTGACAACTATTTATGTCATCATTTTATCTTTAAAAAAAATCTGACACCGAATGGGTTTATGTATAAGTGATTTATTTTCTATTTTTGAAAGATTTTTCTACTGATTTATAAATGTTATGTTCAGCAACTGGAAGAAGAGACGATGGTGTGAATCAAGATGATTCCTTACAATTTGGTTTAGAAACTTTAAAGCTTGCTACAATGAACTTCTGCGATCAAAACAAGCTTGGTGAAGGAGGGTTTGGTGTTGTCTACAAGGTAAACTACTAAATTAAAAAAATATTACTTATTGTCAAGTTATTAAACCAGAACCTTATCAAACTGCGAATATATTCTTAGATAATTATACTTTTGTACCTTCTTAGACTATCATTGAAATTTAGGTCTAATTTAGGGGATTATCATCTCAGCTAAGACTGAATTATCTGTAAATTTTCATTGATCATGGGTCTCTACATTACATAATCATTAATATTCATATGATTTGTTCAGGGAGTGTTGGCAGATGGGCAACTAATAGCAGTGAAGAGACTTGTAACAAACTCTGGCCAAGGAATAAGTGAACTAAAGAATGAGGTTGCCTTAGTGGCCAAACTCCAACATCGTAATTTGGTAAGATTGATGGGTTATTGCTTACAACCGCAAGAGAAGCTATTGGTATACGAATATCTGCCAAATAAAAGCCTTGACAAATTTTTATTTGGTATGCTTCTAACTCATGATACTTTTTATTCTTCCTAATATCGTCCTATCAGTTCAGTTTAGCATTATCTACTCACTATTTATTCGATTGATTTTCACGAATCTTACGTAAAATGGTTGTGTTTCAAGACGCACAGAATGTGAATCTAATCGTGTTTTGTTTGCATGGTAGATCCATTTAGATCCAAGGAACTCACATGGGAGATGAGGGTGAAGATCATTGAAGGAATTAGCCGGGGACTCCTCTATCTTCATGAGGATTCTCGACTGAAGATTATTCATAGAGATCTTAAAGCTAGCAACATATTGTTGGATGAAGGAATGAATCCAAAGATTGCTGACTTTGGCTTAGCGAGGCTATTTGGAAATGAACAAAGTGATGGAAACACTAACCAAATCGCCGGAACATAGTAAGTCTAAGCAACTAGTATTTTTTTCATAACTTAAGATGCATAAACATATGCATACAGTTGTCAACACTTAGATTTTAGACTGCATCCAAATAGATTTAGTCCATGATTAGAAGTGATAAGTCTAGAAAATGAGCTCAAGGTTCAATGTATACTAAAATATTAGATATTATGATAGCCCTGAATCAGAAGCGAGGGAAGGGCCAAAATGTGGCGAAGAGGAGTAACCTTATGTGTGTGAGACAGTGCCTTCTGTATGTAGCCATGCAGGCATTTTTCATCATTTCATACCTGCTGATAGTACCCTCGCGGATATAAATATAGACTAAGTTTGCAAAATTGTAGTAACTTTTTCAAAGACCATGTTCAATGTGCATTTCATAACTATAAATCATGAGAAAACTTGACACACATTGTGTACTTGTGAAAGTGGCTACATGGCACCAGAGTATGTGATGCATGGGCAGATCTCAACAAAATCAGATGTCTATAGCTTTGGAGTCCTACTTTTGGAAATAATGACGGGCAGAAGATGTGCTGGTTACTATGGCCGTAATCCTCCAGCCGACCTTATAAGCTATGTAAGAATGATCATAACCTCTGTGGCTACGTTCTAGCCATCTACTTTGACATCTCTTTGTGATGAGCTTCTCCATAGCTTTACTATATCTGGTATATTTCTATAGATCTGGCAGCATTGGGAGGAAGGAAATGCAGTACAATTGATTGACAAAGATATAGCTGATGGTTTTTCGGTAGAAGAAGCATTGAGGCGCATCCACATAGGATTACTCTGTGTCCAACATGACCCCCTGGAGCGTCCCATAATGTCCTTGGTGGTCCTGATGCTCAACAGCCGCTCATCTCTCCCAGCCATATCCCCTTTATCAAGCTTCACCGAAGTAAGCACAAGTGTCAATTGGGGCCCAGGAGCGACCAGCAAGCCAATTGGCATGCCCCCTATGCCTTAGCCCCAAATAAATGATGCATCAGCCATCAACCCTAGCATTAGCATACTGGAGCTTCGCTAGTATCTACGCCATTCCATCAGTGATTTCCAATTTATGCTCCTGATTGTTTTTAACAAGAACCTAATATTTTAAAATTATGAGCACAACTCCCCTGATTGTCAAAGAAACCCAACTCCTTTTGTGACAAATAGGTCTCTCTGTGGAAGAATTATGGAAAATGACCAATTCAGTGGTTCCTGTTTGAAATAGTTCTTAGTAAACCATTTTTCAAGGAATCGATGCCTGATAAGTCTTCATTATCATGAGTTAATAATTAGTAAATAATATAGTTTTAGCCTTAACTCATAATAAATAGACTTATATTTATGTTAAAGTGTGAAAAGTAGTTTTTAGTTGATTAATGTGTTTTTTGGGTAATTATGTGATTTTACATGAATTTATATGATTTTTACAATTTTACTTTTGAGATAAATAAAGAAAAAGAAATAAAAAATAAAAACAAGATAAAATGAGGGGGACATGTTGGCCAGCCGGGCCCACAAGTGGGTCGGAAGCTCAGTTAGGGAGTAGCCACGAGTAGGGGCTCGAGCAGCTTGGACCGATAGAGGCATGTGTACGCCACTCCCCTTCCACGTTATTGGTGGCCAACCATCTATGGGGCAAGGAGTGGTTGTACATGCGAGAGAAAGGACTTGCTTAGAAATGTAACATTAGTATATATTCATCCAAAAAAATGGTGCACAACCGTGTGGGACTAAACCCATATCACACCTTCTTTAGAAAGGGCGGGCAACTGTCGTGGGTTTGAATCTTCCTAGAGCCAAAACTCATATTTTTTTATTTGATTATCATAACTTTCTTGCAGATCTTCGATGAAGGATTAAGCAACCAAAATTACTAGATCATCGACAAAAATCTCGTAAACACGATTTGCAGAGCATTGTTACTAAAATTACTAAACGATTCATGATAAAAGGATTGCAAATCTATCGAGTAAAGTATCTCTGATTGATCGACGAACAAGCCGTTGTCGGGAAGAGGACGATCCACTAGGAGATGAGTTGCAACCTCTTGAGAGCATACCAGATATAATGAAGAGCCTCCTCTTGCCGCGGGGACCTGAGGATGAAGCTTCCTGACATACGCCCCACCTCCATCTAGCTCCTCTTCATTAGGTGACAACCATCGGAGAGCCGCAAAGTTGCCGTTTTTCCGCTCTGTTGGGTGACAGTCGTCGGAGACAATTTGATAACTCATTTCATTAATCTCTAGACTTTGCAAAGAGATCTAAAGATTACCCACGCCATCTTTGTCTAAGAAGAGCCATCAAGGTTGTGGACATACACTACACGAAGATCCTCTCGAATGTTTAAGATTTTGATGCATCACCGACGCATCGTCGTCGCGATGCTAGAACTCTATTTTCCCACTTTCAACTTACTTTACGCTTCATTTAGTGATAATTTGTTGATTTTAAATTTACCAAGATATACTCTATTTCATTACGATTCTTTCGGCTTTTACAGATCTTAATTTGATCAATTAAATCATCTGTAATCACTTATGTAAGAATCACTAGATGGAACTTTGTTTCTGCCCAATTTGCATTCACCAGGCGCTAACATCATTCTGACGTCCGCACCCTTATTTCCTTTTTTTGTGAATTTTAAATATATTTATTTTTTATTTCCTAGTATAAAATTCATAGAAAATCGTATTTATTGAGAAAAATTCTGAAAAATTACCAGATATTATATTACAGTCTTGTGATCAACTAGAAAATTATTGCTATTTGTTGGAAGTTTTATTGAATTATAATTGATATATTTTTTCAGAAATACTTTTAAATATCTAAAAAATCATACTTTCTAGTTTTATAAATTTTAGATTTGCATGATTTAATATACAATGATTGAGTCACGTCAAATTTTGGCATTGTTGTCGGGGATGTATTGTATAATATTTAGTATTTTTTTGTTTTTCTTTTAGAGTACACAAAAAAAATTTAACTCTTATTTTATTTTTTTTCTTGTCGAATTTTTTTTAGAAAAAAAGAATGAAAAGAAGTAAGGCAAGGACTGGAGCATCCTAAAGGAGGGTAAAAATTACTAAACTTTTCCCTCAAATCTATTGATTTTTTATGTATGGTAGAAGATCTTTGCATCCAAGGTTAGAAAATCCTTTCATTATTTCATTCAAAATTGAAAATCTGAAAGAAAAATAAATTTTGATGGATCTTGAAAGAAGTACAAGTCAAACTGAGAACAATCCTATGGCCATGAAAAATCATTATACCTTGTATTCATTTCAAAGAGCATCTAATATTAGAGTTCTATTAGCACCCATTGTTAAATTCGAAATAAATCTAGAAAATTTTCAAATGCTACTTAATTTTCATAGATTGCCTTTAGAAGAACCTCATCAGCACTTAGAAAAATTTCATATGGTCTGTGATTTAGTTAATCTCCCTTAAGTTACACTGAAAATTATTAATATGAAATTATTCCCTCATACACTTAAGACAAAGTTAGTCATTGGCTATCCACATTAGATAGAGAATTAATTAGCTGTAAGGACATAGAATAGGCCTTTTTTTGCCCTTTAGGAAAAACTCAAAATATGAGAAAACATATATGGAGTTTTTCTCAAAGACTAAGAGAAACTTTACATGAGACATAAGAAACATTCAAAGATTTACTTAGAAAGTGTCCTCATCATGCTATACCCAAGTGACAGCTCAATAGAATTTTTTATGATGAATTATTAGAATAACATAGAAATATGATTGATTCTATATGTGGAGGAGCTTTTATGGAGAAAACTACTGATAAGATTTACGATCTTTATGAGAATTTAAGTGAAAATTCTAGAGATCAAACCTCTTTTGAATTATATGGTAGCGATAAGAAGAGAGGAATTCATGAATTGCATCATGATGATGATTCTAAATTTAGAAATGAGGTTAATCAAATTAGTCAAAGATTAGAAAAACTTGATTTACTTATTGATAATATTAGAAAGCCTCTTAATCCTCAATTTAATTTAAATTTTATAGGTCCTATGTATGGTGAAAATGATCATTTCAAATTTTAATATCATCATAGGTGATAAGTCTTCATTATCATGAGTTAATAATTAGTAAACAATATAGTTTTAGTCTTAACTCATGATAAATAGACTTATATTTGTGTTAAAGAATGATTTTTGGTTTTCAATTGATTAACGTGAATTTTTGGGTAATTATGTGATTTTATACGATTTTTACAGTCTTACTTTTGAGATAAATGAAGAACAAGAAATAAAAATAAAAATATTGCAAAAATGGGGGGACCCACCGGCCAACCGGGCCCGCAAGCGGGTCGGAAGTGTAATCGGGGAGTAAGCCGCGAGCATGGGCTCAAGCGGCTTGGCTTGGAGACCGACAGGGCACGAGTAAATCATCTCCGATTGATCGACGAACAAGCCGTCGTCGGGAAGAGGACGATCCGCCGGGAGACCAGTCGCCACCTCCTGAGAGTGTACCAGATGCGATGAAGAGCCTCCTCTTGCTGCGCGGACCTGAGGATGAAGCTCCCTAACACGCGCCCCACCTCCATCCAGCTCCTCTCCGTCGGGTGACAGCCACCAGAGAGCCGCAAAGTCGCCGTTTTTCCGCTCCGCCGGGTGACAGCCGCCGGAGACGATTCGACGACCCACTTCATTGATCTCTAGACTTCGCGAGAAGATCTAGAGATTGCCAACGTCGTCTTTGTCCAAGGAGAGCCTTCGAGGCCGTGGACACTGCACGACGATCCTCCCGAACGCTCAAGATTCCGGTGCATCGCCGACGCATCGCCGTCGCGACGCCGGAACTCTGTTTTCCTGCTTTCAATTTAATTTACGCTTTATTTAGTGATACTTTGTGTGATTTTAATTTACCAAACGATACTTTGTTAAATTACGATTCTTCCGGCTTTTACAGATCTTAATTTGATTAATTAAGTCATCTGTAATCGCTTACGTAAGAATCGCCGGGCGGAACTCTATTTCCGGCTGATTCGCGTTCGCCGGGCGCTGACGTCATCCTGACGCCCGCACCCTTATTTCCTTTTTTTCGTGAATTTTAAATATATTTCCTTTTTATTTCCTAGTATAAAATTCGTAAGAAAATTTTATTCATTGAGAAAAATTCTGAATAATTACCAGATATTATTACATCCCTGTGATCGACCTGGAAAATTACCGTTATTTTTGGAATTTTTATTGAATTATAATTGATATATTTATTTTGAAATACTTCTAAATATCCGAAAATTCGTATTTTCTAGTTTTATAAATTTTATATTTGCGTGATTTAACATAAAACGACTGAGTCACATCAATAGGTAAGAACAAGTGCAAGTACCCCACAATTTTAGTAAAAATAGAGAATATTTTTCTAATTCTTATAATCCTAATTGGGGGAATAATTTTTCATAGAGAAACCCAAATAATATTCAAAATCTAGAAGCACTTAGATCCAATTCAAATTTTAAATTTCATCTAAAATAGGAACATAGATTTTAGAAAAATTAGTCCTCTCAAATCTAACCTGATGCTATGGAAATGATATAGTACATGAGCCAAATGATGTAACAAACTATGAATCAAATGATGTTACACTAGAAACAAATTATAGAGGCTCTTGGGAATAAGAGAGAAGAGAGACAACTACTTAGTCAGCCTATAGAAAATCCAAGAACTGTTTAATAATAGGATTTCAATAAGGAGAGTCTAGCTGGATAGATTTAGAAAAAAACTCACAAAATGAAAATGTTAAGACAATGAATATATTGAGTGAGAATATTTTACCTGATCCTTATTTTCAATTATTAGAAGAAATCGATGAACCATTAGAAGTAAATGAGAATATTAAGGTTGAAAATATAGTAGCAAAAAATTTGAATAAAATAATTTCTTGCTCACAATTAATGAATGAATATAGTGAGGATGATGAGGAGAAAGAGCCCTTAGATGAAGAA